GGCATGGTTACATGGGATTTTCTATTTATCAAAAACTGTCCAGTTAAGATTTGCACATTTCAATCTATGTAAATTTAATCTTAAGTTTTTACATTAAAAATAACAAGTAGGGGACAATGAGTAGATGAAGATAGAGGTGAAAAAGAATGGCAAATAAATTTAGGTAATGAGTACATGAGGGTATATCCTACTTACTTTGTGTGCATTGACACTGTCCACTATAAAAAAGTTAAAGCCAAAATATCTCAGGACAGTAGAAACATAAGGGACATGTGAACCTGAATGAGGACAGACAGCATGCTCCACATGCCCAAATCAACTATGCTTGCCTCACATGTGGCCAAGAAAACTATCTGCATGTCCAAGGGACAAGGCCTGAATTTCTGGGCAAAGTGCAACCTATACATCGCAACACCACATTTCTGGAAAATGGTAGTAGCATATTTTAAACTAAGAATTAAAACATATACTGCAATGCTACTTTTTTTTTTTGCCACATTATTATTTACAGTAACACTTCCTAATATCTCAATTTTACTGACTAGAAATGAATGGGAAATTATACTTGGAAGATAAACTATATCAAATCCGGTTTTGCTGAGTCAGTATAGAAAGATCCAATATTTATATATGCATTTCAATGTGTCTGCCCATTTCAGAGAAGAGCAACTATGATCTAACCACAGAAAGAGAGTGTTACCATCAGCAGGTGGCAAAAAAGGGACACTGCTTCTAGAGAAAAATCTGCCTGACCATTCTCTTACCTTCGGCCCTGATCCAATCGTCCATGAGGGCCCCGAGCAGGAAATCTGTTCAGGTGGCTCAGGTGAAGTGTGTGGGATGTTTGGAAGAGACTCAGAGCTGCAGAGATAAAATGACCAGTGACTCAAAGAGTCTAGAAAGCTGTCGAACTTCCCCCTCCCTCTCTTCCATGCACAGAGTATCCACTTCAAACCTCAGAGCAGCAGCCTGAAAGTTACCAGTTCATTCATTCAGAGTACCCCATGTAGCCAGCATAACACCCATGCCTCTGGTACTTACGTTTCTGAGGGAAGAGCGGGGGAATCCGGTGTGGCTGGAAGATCAACTGGGGCTGAGCTCCCAGGATCCCTTGCTTCTGGCCCAGGGCTGCCACATGCAGAAGGGGAGGTGCTGGGGACTTCAGTAAGGGCTGCATGACAGTAGCCAAGAAATTCAGGGGATCCACATTCACTACCTTAGAAAGATGTAGTCCCACCCCTTTGACAAAAGTAAGGTTCTTGGCAAACTGATAGGGCACACAGGCTTCCCTCCCTCCCTTTCTAGTGCACATGCTAAGAAAATTAATACCTGGTTGGAGAGCGTTTGCACCTTAACAGCATTCCAGGGCACTGCCTGACCTGGGTTGTATGCAGCCTTCACCAGCACCTTCTCACCAAGCTGGGGCAGGCGGCCCTTCACCACACTGCCAGCACACAAGGAGGCCCCATCAGGAGAAAGACCCTGAACAAGCCAACCTGACTGCTCTCATGAGGTCCTTCCCATTAAGATTTCCCATACCTTCCCCCAAAAAAAGGAAAAAAAAAAGATTTCCCACATCTTTCATAAAAACAGCAAAGCAATGGCTTTAGAGAGGGGGCTGGTGCACAAAAGCATTTCTGGCAAGGGACTAGCCTCAAGCCTACCTTAGCTGAAAAAAGACTTCTTCATCTACCACCCCAAAGTAGTCATGCAAGCTGGTAACAATACCAGTGAAGACTCGTTGCTTCTCCCCACCCTGCAAAAGAGGGCAGGTTAAAAGTAATAGGGAACAACTTGAAGAGAATTACACTCTGCCACTAGGCCCTAAACTCTCTTCATGTGACCCCCAGTTCAGAGCACTACATTGAGATTCACATGGAAGGAAGCACATAGTGGACGCAGCCTAAGCATGAGGAAGGGGCACAAGCTGATTCTTGGCTCATAAGCTCCTTTAACCCTAAGAGGTACCTGAAAGATTACCCTGCAGTCAGAAATTAGGAACTCCTCAAAGCCAGGTGCCAGAAGCTCACGCCTATAATCCTAGCTACTCAGGAGGCAGAGATCAGGAGGATAACAGTTCAAAGTCAACCCAAGCAAACAGTTTGTGCAACCCTATCTCAAAAAAAAAAAAAAAAATCACAAAAAAGGGCTGGTGGAGTGGCTCATGGTTTAGGCCCTGAGTTCAAACCCCAATATCGAAAAAAAAAAAAAAAAGAAAAAGACTCTGCAGTCTTACAGGTTTCCAGGGACCCACATACCAGGACAAGAGTCAGGAACGCTGAGCACTATTAATGTAAGAAACGGATGTGCATCAGGCATCTATGCATGCTGGGGTAGTCCCAAGAGGGAAACTCAGCAGAAAGGATGCCCAACCTACCTGAAGATGCCTAGCATTTTGGGACAGGTCTGTGGCCACAGGAGGAGTAAGCAAACCAGGAGGAGGGCCCAAAAGAGATGTTGAAGCTGCGCCTAGGGAAACAGAGAAGCAATCTCCAGGAACTGCACCTACCACCTTAAGCACTAGAGATTCTCAAGTGGCTCCAACCAGCTCCTTCTCAAGGGTCCACTAGCAACCACTCTAGTCATCTCCTCAGTACCTAAGGAACACCAGCAGCAAACTGCTCTCCAAGGATACCCCAAGGATCACATTTTTGGAAACTAACACCAGAGCACATACTTCCCCGCATGAGGCCAGATAAGAAGAAAAATGATCACCTGAGAAGTTTCGTCCCCCTGGAAGCGGATTGATCCGCTGGCGCTTAAACTGGGACATTGGGAATACTGTCCTCTTTCAGAGTCTTGGGAAAAAAACCTTCAATCAAAAAAAGAAAGAAGTTAGCAATTCCTATGGAAGAATATTAAGGATGTAAGGACCTTACGGAAAGTGAAGAGGGAGGCCCTGGGAATGAATGGAGAAATGGATAGAGAGGATATAACGAGGAACAGGAAATGAAATAGGGAATTACATTATTCCAGGCTGCCTTGGCAATAACCTAGTGGCGGGTGATACTGACATGCTGCTTTACAAAAAAGGAAAGGAGCTCTGAGCCATCAGGAGACGTGCCCCAGAACACAAAACCAGATAGTGACAAACTGGGACTCACACCCAGGTCTCCCAACAACTCAGCACTCTTCACGCTGTGCCACTGCCATGCCTACAGAGGTTGGCAGTGTGGGGGGCTGTTAAGAGCTCCGGTGACATTCATTCATTCAAAAACGTCCGCCAAAACGCTCCACGCAGGGCCCAGAAAAATGAAGAGGCCGGTGCCCGGCGAGGTGGTGCGGGCCCTCTCCCGGGAGCCCGACCCGTTGTTCCCACGACTGGATGATGGGGAATTCTCCAGCCGGCCCAACGCGAAGCGGCCTGCGCGCCGCCCTCCTGCTCCCGCGCTCGCTGGCCCTCGGCTCTGCCTCCAGCAGCTACAGGCACCCGGCCTCCCGGGCAGGGCCGCGGCGAGGCCACCGTGGGAGGACCAAGGCGCGCGGTTTCTCCTCCTCCCGCCCGCCCCCAGGGCCGAGGCCGTTGCCAGGGAGACGGAGCTTGCAGTCCGGAGGGGGCTCGGCCCCTTCCGTGCCCCGTGCATCTTCGCCGTCCGGCCCCCGCAGCCTCTCTACTGGGGAGAGGCGAAGAGGCAGAGGGGCGGCGGGGAGCCCCCAACCCACCTGCGGGCCAGGGCCGCGACACCGGGGGGACAAAGACACCCGGAACCACCACAGCCGCTGCCGCCGCCGCCACCGGAAACGCCTCTCCGGAAGCGCGACCACTGGTCGGAAGCTGCCACTCTCCCGGATATGGTCCCTCCCTCGTCTCTACCGACCTCTCCCTTCCCCCACGCCCGCCAGCCATCCCGCGGCAACTATGGAACGGAAGTGCGCCTTCGCGGATCGGATGTGCGTTCGAAAGCCGCGCGTAGGTGGTGTCCTCACTTAAGTGTCCCATTAGAAAAGTGGGCTTCAGAGCATTGGTTCCTGGTTCAAAGAAATCTGGAACTGAACCCCCAAATATAAGGGAGTGTCTCCCACTCTCATACCCGCCTTACTGTGGCAACCCCCGAGACTGAAGCAGCAAAAGAACCAGTCCCAACTGACTGGAGGAGTATGCCTGGTAAGTGGGTATTTCTAAAAGTCATTGTTACTCAAACCAATGTCCCTCATCACTATCTCTGCCCTTCCATTGACTGTCCCCCAGGATAACAACCCTGGAGAGTACGCAGGCGAGGAATCTTTGCCATAATTCTGAATATAAAACCTATCAGACTTCAATGAAATGACTTACTCAAAACCTTGCCAGAAGAGTGACCATTTTGGTCCCCATTAACAATCCCAGTTCCCCCTTAATCTCTTGTCTTCCCCATCATCCCTCCAATCCAGCCTTCCTCCAGCACCCATACCCTCCCTTGTCCTAGTCACTTAACATTCATGGCATACTTTGAGAAAGTTTAATGTTACTTTATCCTCATAACAAGTTTGTGAGGTAGGTAGGGCAGGCATCATTATCCCAAGTGGGAAGCTGTGGCTCAGAAGTTAAGAGACTTTGCTATGGTCTAAAAGCTACCGTGGGCTTCTGGTTTCAGCTCTGACATGTTTATGGGCTAAACAGGCTTAGAATTGGCCTTGAAAGTTATTCTGCTGTTCCCCACATTGTCCCTGTGCAAGATTCAATATGACAGCAGCCAAAACAGCACTGTTCTGTGTTGCAGGACTGTCAATTCAAGTATGAGGAGGAAAGCAGAAATCTAGATCAGCAACTTCCCTACGTGAAATGCAGGTTGCTCCATCCTTCCACAGTTACCTCACCCAGAAGACCAACACTTTGGATGCATGATTCCAGCAGAGATGGTTGCATTCAACCAGTTGACAATACTGTCATTCCTACAAAGATGTATATATGTCAGTAGGCATAAACATACATCTGCAACATGCTGGGCCTGGCCAGATCACCATGCCATATGTGGATGCCTGATAAATTAGTTCACATTGTCTAAGCCCAGGGATTTCTGGCAAGGAGAAGAAGCCCCGGAGCTGCCACACCTTGGGGCCTCTCAGGAACCAGGGCTCCTCAGCCAGGCTGCTGAGAGGAGAAAGATTCTGTCCTCGACTTGGAGAGGGGTGAGCATCAATAGCTTTTCCTGGCAGTGTGGAGAAGCAGTAACAGGGCAAAGGGTGAGGAAGACTTCATAACAAATCCCCTCCATTCAGGGTCACAAGATGCACCAAGAGGTCTCAGCATACAGAAAGATTTTTTGCTCGTGACTTCTTAACCACTAATGATGGTATAAAGGTCTTCTGGGGAGGGTGGTATGGAGGCCTTTCAGAAAGGTGTCTGGATTCAATCCTGTAGAAAAAGGAAAGGAGATTAGGCTACAAGCAGGAAACAATAGCTCCAGAGTTGATAGAACATTGCTTAGCTGCTGTGGGGAAGCTGGAGATATTAAATTGGTGCTTCTTCCCCCTGGACAATTAGTCAGAATGGCCCCCTAGCATGATGGACTTTACCACAGTAAAATCCGTTGTCTGCTCCTCTACCTTGCTTCCCTACACACCCAGACAATGGTCTAAATTTCAGTGTGAAGTGGGGAGGGATTGCTGGGATGAGATGAGATTTCCATCATCTGGGCCTCACTCTGTCACTGATTCACCCTGTGGCTTGGGGAAAGCTATAGCCCTCCAACTCTGCCTAATCCCCAGCCTCCTTATCTGTAAATAGGGCATTATAACTACTTTCTGTTCCCTCTATCATCCACTCCAACACTGTCTATGTCTCTCAAATTTCATAGGGACAAAGATATTAACTGACAGAACAACTTCAACATCCCAGTTCACCAGTCTCCTCCCTCCACCCCAACCTGGACCAGGCATAGGACTCACGTGGGGGTAGAACGATCAGGAGGAGCAGGGTGCTCAGAATGTCGAGAACTCCTCCAACGGATCCGATTGAGCAAGACCTTGACCTTGTCCCAGTGGGAAAGATCCTGCTGAGCAAAATAAAAGATCACCACAGCCCCACCCCACAGGGGTAGCTGTCACCATAGCCAGGATAAGTCACTTGCTCTAAACAGAAATCCTGTCATTTCCCCACTTTCTGTCCTTCAGGGTACCCACACATCCCAAACATCCTACCCCATCCTGCCACCTGCCTCACACCTATCAACCACTACCTTGTATCCCTGGGAGGGTGAAAAGCTGTGGGTTGGTTCCATTGGGACCTCTGGCAGCCTGGGAGGATTGGCACCGAGCTTCCCAACGTTTGAGGCTGAAACTGCCTCTTCCCCTTCAGAAAGAGAATCATGTTACCCAGGCCCAGAACAGGAAGCCTCTCCACTGAGCTACAGCTCAGGGATCTGCCAGTAGGACCCTGGACAGGCACATGAGGCACAGGCAGGACACAGGATGAGTTACAATTGCCACTCACCTGTCTCCTTTGTCTGGCTTAGCAGCTCCCCTGCTTCCTGTACCCCATTGCCTGAGGCTTGCAAAGGTGAAGGTGAAGGAGCCACATCCGACCTCTCCACTTCAGGACCCTGGAACAGGAGAGATATAGCAATGAAGATCTCATTAGAAGGCTAAGACTATTCTGAAGGCAGCCACAGTTCCAGGGGTCCTGCCCCTTCCCCCCACTCACTGGCATGGTCACCCTGCTCTGAGAGTCACTCACCCCATGGGACCTCTCTGTCTGCAGCTGCAAGTAGAACTGCTGGAGCCTCGCCATCTGCTCCAACACCAGACACAGGTGTTCCAGGTATCGAAGACCCTGCCCTGGGAGGCAGGCCCAGGCTTCAGGCGCCATTCCCTCCACCTATGGGACACAGTAAGGTAGGGGAGACTTCTAGACTCAACCAGCTTCCCACCCTAGGCAGACAGGCTGTGCCGAGCCAGGAAAGGGGGACAGAGTGGGCAGACCAAGGAGCACACATGCAGCTAGCTTCCCCAGTGCCCATCTCCTTTGTGTGGGGGTGGCTACACACAACTGGGAATGAGGTGAAGCAAGAAGCAATGACACAACCATCAATTAGGGGCAAGGAATGCCCCACCCCGAGAGAGCTCCAGGGAAAAGAAGAGAGGGTGGGGGGGTCCCCACAAACCCCATTACAGGACTGTCTCCACCCACTCTTCACTCAGCAAAGGTTGACACTCACCACCTCGGTTACTTCCAGGCCTGCCTCTAGCTTGGTTTCTGCCTCAGTGGACCCTTGTCCTCCTGCTGCACAAAAGGACACTCCACACTCAGTCTTAATCGGCAGCTGCAGGGAGTGGCGCTGTCCAGGCAGCCTGGGGAGCCTTCGGGACCGCTCCAGCACCTGCTCCAGCTTACGACTGGCCAGTAGCCGGCCTCGCTGGGCACTGAGCTCAGGGCTCCCCCTGGGCTCAAGGTTCAGAGAGTCCTGAGAAAGTCCTGGTAAGATGGCCAGGGGGCTGTCCCCAACCACCATCTCCATCCCTGAGTCCTGGGAAGCTAGTTTGAAAAGTGGCATCTGCCTCCCAAGCCTTCTCAGCTCGCCCTCTCTCTTCCGGAAGTCCAGTGAGCACCCATAAGCTGCATCCGGAATCCGTCTATAGGTGCTGGTGACTCCAGGGACTACACAGCCTGGAGCCAGATCCTTGCTGGCCCCATCTGCAAGTAGAGTCGTATCAGGCTAGGCAGGCTGCGCTCAACACCCCCAGCATTCCTAGCAGCTGGCAGCATTCCCCTGAGGAGGAGTGTCCTGGGCCAGGGAAGGGAAGACACAGGACAGCCACAACCCTGCTGAGATAGGGCTCAAACTCTGCTTGGGAGATGTTTGAATGGGGCTTCCCTTCTAACAATAACTGTCAGCAAGGAGGAACCCCTGCTTTCAGCTGTGTGTTGGGCAAAATCCTTGCAGTCATGCCCACCTGCTCCCTGGATGGTCTATGTCCTTCCCATGAGGGTCCATCCACCTAACCCTGCCAGGCCCTAAGTAGAGAGCCTCTGCCTCCTAGGCTATTCCTCAAGGGGCAGGAAGACTGGGCCAGCCTCAGGGAGCCAGGAAGGTCACAGGGTTGAAGCCTGGAGTCCACACACTACTCTCTGGAACCCCTGAGGCATCAGGATGCAAAATGAAGTTTCTCCTGGAGCTCATGGAGAGAGCGATTAAAATAAATAATAAATAAATAACAGCAACTCTAACCATTTGGGGAGCTTTTAAGTGAGAAATAGTGAAAATTTCTGTTAAATTTAAAAGAAAAAACTTAAGTGAAAGAAAGCTACATTCATCTATTGTCACCTCTTGGGTCTGGGCGTCCTACTGGAATGGGGCAGAAACTCGGGCTGCTTAGGCTGGAGACCCCCGCCCCCCACCCCGGGCCAGGAAGCCCATCCCTGTCCCGGTCCCTTGAAAAGGGAACTTTTGAGGACTTCTAGCTGGGACAGGGGGAGGTGGAGTCAAACATCTCCAGCAGAGGAATAAGGCTCCGGACCGAGGATAACAGAGGAGTTGGCCGAGAGGAAGCGGGATGGGGGAGGTGACCGGTTGACCGCCACTGGTCCCCAGCCTAGTCACTCTGCTCCTTCAAAGCAGGGAGGGGGCGCGGCCGGCGGGAGCCGGGAACGCGAGAGGCGACTCCAGCCGCAGCAGCCCGGTGGTGGGCGACTCACCCCGGCTGCCGAGCTGCTCCACCGTGAAGACGTGCCGTCGGCGCAGCATGGCGCGCTCCCGGCCCGATGCGCCCCGGCCGCTGCAACGCCCAAGCGATCCCTGAGCGTCCCCAGCCACGCTCGGGCAGCTGCCCGCCCAGCTGGGCGCGGTCCCGGGACACTCCCCGCTGGAGGCGGGGACGGGGTGGGCGCAGGTGTGCGGGTGGCGGCGGGGAACCCCCTCCGGGTTGACTGGGAGAGCTTTGCACCCCCAAGCCTGCCTGGGGCGAAGGGAAGGACCCCGATCCGCAGTCCTTGGAGGAGCACCACCCTGCTTAGGGACAGGCTCCCGGCGCGGATCGCCGCCACTGCTGCACAAGCGGCCTGTCTTCCTGCGGCCGGGTAACGGGGCCACTGAACGGAGCCCGGAAAGCTGTGGAACCCCAAGCGCTGGTAAAGCAAAAAGCACCGACCTGGACCCGGCGCTCTCAGGTCCCTCAGTTTGTGAGAAGTCTAGCAGCGTTAACAGTAAAATGGTCCCTGCACAGCGGCTGCATGGTGCTGTGTCCGGGCTACAGATGAACCCTCCTACCCGGCCCATAACTTTCTCATCCCCGAGCTGGAAGTCTTCAAGCTCTGGCAACAGGTGAGCCCTCTGCCTGGGCTGGGCTGAAGTGTAAATGCCTCCCTGGGCCACTCCTCTCTTACCCTGTAGGATTCAGTCCCCAACCTCCATCCTAAAAGGAGCCCAGGCAGCTGCTAAGGGTGAAACAGCCAGTGACCACATGGAGGCTAGAGGCTTCTAAGAAAACACCCTCTCCTGAGGAAGGCCACAGGGCTGGAAAAATCTCTGCAGGACCCAAATCCCCTAGAAGCAAATTTGCACTTGGGTCCCTGGGAAGAAGTGTCAGGGCCAGAGCTAGAGCCACAGGAGGAGGTTGCTGTCAACTGGGAAAAAGGAGACAGTCTGCCCACCCCTCTGATCCTTGCTCCTTCTTGAAACCCATCCTCAAACATTGGAGCCTTCATCAGAAAGCCACCAATGTTCAGATCAGGAAACTGAGGCCCACAGTCAAGCGTGTAAAATGAGAGCCAAGTACCTAAACTGCCATTGCCTGCTATCTCAACACCTTGATATTGGGGCCCAAGCCCTTCCCCATTAACATGTGTCCCCTGGACTGCCCAGCCCTGCCCTGTTCTTTTGAACACCCACTCCCACCCCTTTCCTCCTAATACAGAGGGAAACAGGATGCCTGACCTGGCAAAACTGCCTTCTGCAAGTCCAAGAAGACACAGGGCAGCAAACTCCTAGCCAGGCTAGACCCCACACAGGCCTACCAGGTGGCTTCCTCCCTCCAAGGTGAGAGGGTGGGGAGATAAGGGAGGGAGCCTTTGCCAGATCTTGCCCTGAATTTGGAGAATGTGGGGCGGATTCCAACCAGTCTCGAGGTGACTCTGCAGCAAGAATGCATCTGGAAACAGGAAGACCAGCCAGCAGGAATGCAGTGCCTCAGCACAAAGCTTTGTGTGTGACTCAAAGAACCCCCACACACCAGATGTACACTCCCTTTCAAGCTATGGCCCAGTGCGGACACTGAGCCAGCTCTGAGCAGCCAGAGCCCTCGGGGGACCCAGGCAGATGTTGTGAGCCGTGCTTTTTTTTTTTTTTTCATTGCCTTCTGTCACCCTGACAGTGGCAGTTCCAAGATGAAAATCCTGCAAGAGGGCTCTATGGCCCTGCCATGACCTGCTACCTCCTCAGTGTCTTCTCCATACCAGAGGAGAATCATGTCCCTCTACATGAGGCTGGAAGGAATGGGAGGAGCTGCACAACCACTCCTGGCTGCCCACCTGGGAAGGTGAGCAGCTACCCTGAATTCCTAAGACAGAAGATGGCCCAAGGAGAGTCATGCCCTTGATCAGTCTACCTCCTGAGAGGAAGCCCCAGCTTCAGGGATCCCATTTCCTGCAAACTCAGCACAGAGCTAGGCTGTGGAGAAAGGCAAAGCCAAGGGCCTGAGACAGGTGCTGGTTCCATTCCTGGCCCCTCCCCTGACTAGCTAGGAGTCTTTTGACTAATATCTTAACCTCTCTGTCCTCAGTTTCTTGGTCTGTAGAACAAGGATAATAGCAATACCTGTGTCTGAGCTGTGAGAATAAAATTTAAACATTTTCAGTATTCTTAGGATATCCAAGTGCTCCCAAATGTTAGCTATTATAACCTAGCTGTGTAACTGAGAGTATCAGTTTCCCAAGCTCTGTCTGAAGGGGCTGGCATCAGATGCTCTCTTGGGCCATTTCTAAGTCAAATCTGTCATTTCTGAGCTTATTCTCCCAAATGGAGGGAAAAAAAGTACAATGTACAGTAGCATAAATGGGTCAGAGGGAGAGGGTATCCTTGGCTAGCCGGCTTGGGGTGACATAGGTCATGGGCAAAAGATCAGAGCCTGCCCCCAGCCCTGTCTACTGACAAACTGGTTTGGTTAATAACTCCACCTTTCCAAAGGAGTATGCTGCCAAGCTTAGGTTGGCTGTGTGGCCACAGAGAATTCTGAAACCAACATTCTTGGGGCCCCTGGGTGGACAGCTGGCTGCCACAGTAAAGAACAAGCGCCACACATGAATTTTAGTTGCGATCCATTCAACCTTGGCATACCCATTTCCCAGGTGTCCCCTCTCCCCACTTGTCCTCCTCCACTCCTTGTGACACCACTGGCCCACATGGCTTGTTACAGGTGGGGATCTAACCATATCAGTAGTCCAACCTATTCTTCTCAACCCGTTTCTTCTTTGCTCAATACTTTCAAAGTGTCCCCAGAACTTCAAGGTCAAGTTCAAACCACATCTGGCATTCAAGGCTCCCTTAGTCTCAGCCAGTGTTCTGAATGACTAGCTCATAGTTCACCCCATCTCTCAGCACTTCTCCTCCTGGCCATCCTTTCCCACAGATGACAACTGCTTTGAACTCAAAGGGTGCCCTTTATGTGTTCCAAAATAGCCCGTTACACTTACTGCCACCTTGCATTATTTCATTCATGCCAGCAATGATAACTGCCTTAATCTCCAGGAAAGCAAGAAAAGTGCTTTATCTTTCTGCATTCCCACTGTGCCAAAGACCAAGCTTGCAGAGTGTTTACCAGGGTACAGAATTCCCCTTTGTGAGCATCTTCTCTTGCTATGGGCAACACTGGACACTAGGTGGTGACAAAGAAGCTGCCCCATTTCCCATGAGACACTCAGCCCAGACAGACTCCTGAGCCAGTCAGCCAATCTTAATCTTTTCTATAAAAATAAAGGCCCATCCTCAGGCACCCATCCAGGCAAAAGGTGGGATGATTGTATCAAAGTGTAAATTGTATCCACAGGTGCCTGAGGAAGCAACACAGACTGCCAAGACTCCATCCCCAAAGAGTCAGATAGAACAAGGCTGCCATCAGACTGAGCCCTCTGAAATCAGCTTTGATCTCTGTGATCTCCAGGCTGACTCAGGGCAGGACTGGAGCACCCAGCAGTACCCTGGGGAACTTTCTAAAATGTCCTCTGGGATTAGGACTAGGGGCAGTTGGTGAATCAGACCAAAAAATCAGAGGTTGGCATTGGACCACTGCCTCTGCCTCCATTCAAATGCATCCCACCCAGGACAGGGACACTGAGCACTGGCTATACCCATTGGTTTTTTTTTCAAATTAAAGAAGTCAGCAGAGTCTCCCAGGAAGGGGTGGCAGGTGAGCACAGACCACCCTAACACAGAGCCTGGGCCCATGGTGGGTGATGGTCTCTCAAGGTGAAGGCTCTGCTGGATTGTTTCAGACCCCAGCCCTTTCTTCCTGGGCAAGGTCAACCTGTAGCCCTAGTCTAAGGGGATTGCTGGTGATCATTGTTCCAGCTGGGGCAGGCAGCCTCAGGCATGTGCAGGTGCTTTCGAAGTCATACCCCTCCACTGCCCCTCTTACTGGGGCCCCCTCTTCTGCCCACCCCACTCATCTGTGTATATCAGTATCAGTCAGATTGACAGTATTCATACCAAATAGAGTGAAGACAGTGGAGAGAACCAGCCTGGTCTAGCACAAGACAACAACAAGACCTCACCACCAAGGCCTCCTGGTCCTCTGTACATACACGCACACATGCATACACACACACACACACACACACACACACACATCCCTGTCCCTCTTCTGGGAAATCCATCCCAGGAAAACAGACATCTTTACAAGAAGGTTAGGGAAGCACACCCTAAAGAAGCAAGCCTCTGCAATGGGGCATGTCAAGTAGAGGGAACCTGACAGGTGGAGACTGAGGAGGGGAGATAAGGAACATATGAGGTAAACAGACTCTCTACTCAGGAGGGAGCAGCCCCTACCCAAGGGTGGGAAGAGGAAGGAAAGAAGGGCACACTACTTGGTTTTGTCCTTGTATATATATTTATAGAGCTCATGTGTCAAAAACTTTGCACAGTGAATACCATTAGCCTAGGCCCCACTTCTGTCCTTCTAGAAACTTCCATGCATCCCATCCTGTACCCAAAGGTATCAGACACAATAGCCACTTCAGCCTGCCATGCAGCACCTGTCCTGCAGGAGAAAGGCCAGGAAAAGGGCTGCCCTCAGCACCTGCAGCCCAAGATGAGTCACAGCCCTTGACCTCACCCAGTGAGGATTGAAGGGGCTTCGGGCCCCCAAACTTAGTTCACATAAGAACCGCCACCCACCATTGTCCCTTCCCTGCCAATTTGGTCTTGGCATGGCTGTCCCAGAAGTGCTGTGAGTGGAGATGGGCTGAGCACCCCGAGGTTCAGGCCCGAGAGCTGAGGGTAGCAGACACTGAATAGCGTTGGCGGGCGTGCTTCTCACAGTACAGCTCATCGCCCACCCAGAAGTGGCCACGCATCTTCAGGTTTAGCCCACAGTCAGCGCAGGTATAGCAGCTGGGATGGCGGTACCGCCCGTCCTGGATACGCACAGCCTGGTTCCTGTGGGGAGGGAGAGCCATCAGCTCAGGACAGAGACAAGAAGGACAGGAGGACTGAGCATGAGTCCACCATTCCTAGGGAGCTTGGTCCCAGCCAGTTAGCATCTAGACACAAAAACCTTCTCAGATTTGACTCCCAAGCCTCCTTCAAGAATCTCACTTCAGCTGGGTATCAGTGACTCATTCCTGTAATCCTAGCCACTCGGGAAGCAGAGATCAGGAGGATTGCAGTTTGAAGCCAGCCTGGGAAAATAGTCTGTGAGACCCTATTTCAAAAAAACCCATAACAAAAAAATGGCTGGTAGAGTGGCTCAAGGTGTAGGCCCTGAGTTCAAACACCAGTACAGCAAAAAAAAAAAAAACCCACAAAACCCAAACTCACTTCAGTGGTTCAAGTCGTAGAGCTCCTGCTTTGCAAACACAAAGTCCTGAGTCCAAACCCCAGTCCCACAAAAAGGAAATCTCACTTCAACAAACTCCCAACACACATATACAGACCCCCAACACATACACCCTCAACACACACCAACACGTAGACCCAACACACATATATACTCCAACACACTCCTCTAACACACATACACATCCCCTCACATACATATACCACACATGCAGACACACACCAACACACAACATACGCACTTCCAAAACATATACCTGACACCCACTCCCCCAACACACACCCAACATACATACACACACCTGACACACGTATCCCAACACATACACTCAATACCCACACACACACTCAACATATACACTCCCAATACACACTTCCCAATACACTCCCAATACACACTTCCCAATACACATACACATACACCAACACATATACACCCCACAAAGACCCCTAGGCAAGGACAAAAAGTCACTCCTCCCACACACAGACTGATAAACCCTCTTGTGTCCCCTGGGTTTTTAATGGAGCAGTGGTTTTCAAGAGTATGGCCCTAGGGACAGGACCACCGGCATGAGCATCACGGAGAGAAAAGTTGGCAGTGCATGTTCTCCGGCTGGAGAGGAGCTTAGTGGCAGAGCGTTTGCAGAGCAAGTGCAAGGCCCTAGGTTTAATCCCCAGAAGGAAGGAGGGAAGGGAGAGAAAGAGGGAGGGGGACGGAGGGTGGGAGGAGGGAGGGAGGCAGCACATTCTCAGGCCCACTGGCTCCTGAAGGAAGGTCCTCAGCTGCCCAGCGATCTGTGTCTCAAAAGCCTCCTGAAACTGGGGATGTGCAGGGCAGGAGTTTGGGCATCATCCAAAACTTCAGGTGAGAAAGGTGCAGACCAGAGAGACAAATCTGAAAGCAGGTCACCTGATCTGGGGTATGGGTGGGGGAGTGTCCAATGATCTTCAGAAAAAGTGACAGCATTATAATGCCACCACTAGGTAAGCCTATTTCTGTTGACAGGGGGAGGCAGGAGGGACCAGGATTTTCCAGGAGGAGATGCCTCATCCAGAGGTAGGTTCCAGAGGCTTAGAGATTATGGAAGAAAGACCCAAAGCAGTAGCAGTTCTCATTCTCCTGGGGAGAGGGAGGAAATGGGAAGGAGAGGAGAGGAGAGGAGGTGGTGGGCAGGAAGCAGCTGGCCAGCCATTCCTTCTGAGAAGTCTGCAACAGTCCAGCATGAAGTGACTGGGCAGCACTTTGCTCCAGAGTCCCCGACTGGCTGCCTTCCCTTCCTCAGAACCCCCTGCCCTGTGCCCCACCAGGGTGCACCCTTGCCTGACCCTCCCCCACTCACGCGATGCTGGTGTTGCACTTCTCACAGGTGTGGAGCTTGGGTGGGGTGGCCAGGGCCCTGGAAGTGGGCAGGGAGGCCTGGGGATTCAGCGAGCTGGGCAGGAAGGCAGGTGTGCCACCTAGGAGGGGCAGGAGACAGACATACGAGGGTTTGTCCACCTGCAGTGATGTCCGGCTGTATTTAGTGACACCACTCTGGCTCCTCCCTGAACCACTGCCAGATTTGTTGTGGAAGGTACACTTTCATGGGCGACTCTAAAGTTCCAGTGACCATGTGAAAGGGTAAGGAGGAGAGAAGGTGGTCATGCCAAATCCATGGCTGAGGCTGGTGGATGCCCACTCAAGGCCAAGTTTACCCTTCTAAGGCAAACTGGGGACATCTACGTGGACTGGGTGACATTGAAGATGCATCCTCTGTCTTGTCATCCAGTCAAGATGATGTGACAGACAACACTAGGTCATCTAAGCACCACGACGCCTCTGCACTGCTTTCTGAACCTGTGAAAATGCTAGATGAATCAGAGGCGTTGGGCTCCCATGACGTCCCCTTGTGTCTGCTCCTCTTCCCCACCACCACCCTCCCCGTGTCCTCTCCTGTGGCTTCCAAAGACTTCAAGGCCAGGAAGGACAAAATTTGTTCCAAATCTCACTCAGCCTCACTTGACCCTACAAAAATATCCCTAGGAGTGACACATCAGTTAGAACCAGCCAGAGGGGACTGGTCATTCTGCCACTCTGACCCCTCTCCTGCCTGCCCCATGGGCTCCCTCTTCCCTCCCCTAGACAAGGTAATAATTCTTCTCCACTGAAGGCCAGGAAGTTCCAGTGCGAACAGTCTGAGTCCCACTGCAGCATCCATTTCCTGGGGAACTGGTCAGGTTGTCTGTCCCAATAAACAGGGCTCCTCAGGAGCAGAGTGGGGTGTAACCACCTTCAATCCCACTCTCTGTGCACATCTGCTCCACCGAACAGGCACATCAGTGTTTTTCAAATGAGTAACTGAGCAGCTGGCAGGAGCCTGTTGCTCAGTGAGCATCTTGCCTGGCATGATTGCCTAATGGACTCTTCTAGGGTCCATGGACTCTTCCAAGGCCCATGCCACAGCCACTTACTCTCCCTGTCACTTGTGGCCAGGCCACTATATTTTTTTTGGCAGTACTGAGATTTGAACTTAACACCTCTAGCTTGCTAGGTATGATAGGCATTCTACTACTTAAGCGACATTCCAAACTTTTTTTTTTTTTGCTTTAGTTATTTTTCAGATAGAGTCTCGAGTTTTTGCCTGGGGCCAGCCTCAGCTGATGATCCTCCTCCTACCTATGCCTCACCAATTGCTGGAATCACAAATATGCACCAGCTTGTTTGTCAGGATAAGGTTTCACCACCTCTTTGCCCGGGCTGGCCTTGAACCATGTTCCTCCTGATTGCCACCTCCCAAGGAAGTGGGATTAGACATGAGCCACAGTACCAGGCACAGGCTACCAGATTAAGGCTATTTGTTAAAAGCCTTGGTCTATCAAATACCTCTTCCTCCAAGAAGCCCTCCCTGGAAACCAGGCCTGGAACGGCCCTACCATCCACCTTTATCACTCCCTTGGCCCTTTCTGGGTGCCCACCTGGTAACTGTGCTAGAGTGTAAGCTCCTGAAGGCTAGGGACTGTGGCTTGACATGCACTTCCCCTAGTCCCTGGTCTTACGATGAACACTTGATAGGAACTTTTGAAACACTGCTTCCGGCTGGGGACAGTGGCTCACACTGTAATCCTGGCTACTTGAGAGGCTAAGAGCAGGAGGATCACAGTTTGGAGGGAGGGGAGCAGGCAAAAAAGTGAGACTCTATCTCAAAAATAACCAAGAAAAAAGGGCTGAAGGCTGAAAGGGTAGAACGCCTGCCTAGCAAGGAAACCTTGAGTTCAAACCCCAGTACTGCCAAAATAAATTTTAAAAAAAGGAACACTCCAGAAAGCAGCACTGCTTACTTAGCCTGTACAGTCACACCCAGGGGAACATCCGTCACCCTCCCCAGTCCTGAAGGCCTCACCTCTCTCCTCAGCCTCCAGGGCTTCCTGCAGGAGGCGAAAGGAGCTGGACTGCCGTGGTGCCGTCCGCCCCTCGCGGTTCTCCTGCAGCATCTTGAACACTTCCGAGTCCTCTTCCAGTTCCACGCTGGGGGATGGGGGCAGCCAAGAATGAGGGTCGCAGGTGGGGATGTTAGGACTCGCCATGGGGTAAGGGGGGGGGGGCGGAGTAGTTCTGGGGACTGGAAGAAAGCTCCCTGGGCTTAGGAGGGGCAAGGATCCCCACCCCTCCTGGGGAAGCCAGTCTCCCTCCTGTCCCCACCAGGCCCTCCAGGAGCCTTCTCAACCCTGCGGGGACTGCTAGTACCTGAACCTGGGGCTGGAGGACCTGGGCCCGGGGGAAGACGGCAGTACCAGCACAGCCGAGTCGCCAGCGCGGCCGCGGCCAGCCTGGGGACGGAGAGCACAAGGGAGGAGTCAGCCACCCCGCCCAGGCCACTGCCCGGGCCGCGCCAGATGCTGCTCCCCGGGCTGACGCCAGGGGGCGCCCGTCCCCGCTGACCTACGGGCCCCTGCGAGGGGCTGCACACTGCCTAGGTCAGTCCCCAAAGCCAGGGCACCAGGATGCTGGGTTGTAGAAGGGAAGGGAGGACAGGCACAGTGGCTCGTTTATCTAATCCTAGCTACTCAGGAGGATTACAGTTCGAGGACTGCCTGGGCAAAAAGTTCATGAGACACACTCCACCCCATCTCAACCAATAAAGCTGGGCGTGGTGGCACATGCCTGTCATTTCAGCTACTGGAAAAGTATAAAATAGGATCTTGGTCCAGGCTCGCCCAGACATAAATGTGAGACTATCTCAAAAACAACCAAAGTAATCCTGCCTAGCAAGTGTAAGGCCCTGAGTTCGAACCCCATTGCCATCAAAAAAAAAAAAGGGGGGGGGGCTAGGGTGTGTCTTAAGTGATAGACCAGCTGCCTAGCAAGCAGCAGTTCAAACTCCAGTACTGCCAAACAATAGTAATTGATAATAGAAGGGGAGAGAGGAAGGGAGGCCGGTGCCGAGGTACTTGGGTTCTGTGAGAGGACTGAACAAGAGGTAGAATGAGGATAGCAGGTAACAAGCTCCATATAGACATCCTCTAGGTATATACCCCCTATTAGGCGATGCTACCTGAGCTCAAAGATGTAGCACACTGTGGCCACACTCAGATCCCACAGAACAAGCACAGAGGAAGCAAGCTGACCCTTTGCAATGAGGCCATGGAAACAAAGTAGTACAGCAAAGGAATTAAGCAACCCTGGAGCCACGGTGTGACCAAGGCAGGTCCTCAATGCCACAGTGCCACACACAAGGCTCCCTCTCCTAAGAGTACCAGGCTCTGAGCTGCCACAGCTGCCTCTCCCAGCTGCCCGGAGTTCTCTTCCTGGCCCCCTAAGCTTAGGGGAACAATGCCCATTCTGACCCAGTGCCTGGCTGTTGGATATGCTCACTGTGGAAATCTGGCTTTCAACCTCATTGTTGGTCCTGGACCTTGGCATCCTCCCTCCCTTGCCATCCCCAAAAGGACTCCACTGCACGGGAGGAGTTTGCACAAGGCAGACCAGGAAGCTTAGAGCTCAGGGCAGAGAGCCTGGGAAGTCAAATTCTCTCAATTTCAAAATTCAAAGTCATGTGTAATTTATGGGGAAAATTTTAAAACTGTACAAATCCTTAGGCCAAAAGCAAAAACAGTATTAGGAACACGGCCAAAGACCCTCACCCTGCCAGCCCTCTTCCAGCAGCATAAACACCTCTACTCTGAGTCCTCTGGTATAATGCTGTACAGGGGAGAGGACCAAGGGTCAGGAAGGAACAGTGGCTAGTCCAGACTGCCTGGGGGTCAAAGGCAAGGCTGGGGTTCCATGCTCTGAGTGAGATCATTTCCTCAGGTTCTCAAGAATAACATCACATCTCTAAACAGACAAGCATGTGCCCTGCACAGGACACCCAGGTGGGGGTGAGGAGACCATGGGGGCTGACATCCAGCCCAGGGTCCTTTGGGAGACAAGTCCTCATTCCCAGCCAGAGTAAGAGGTGCTTTTCTCAGTTGGCATAGTTTCTAGAAGGGCCCTTCTGGAGTTCTATGTAGGAACCTGGTATCCTATGTCCTGGTTCTCTAGCCTGAGCCAGCCAGGAGTCCACTGCAAAATGAAGGCACCTGTGCCCCCTCTGACCCACAGCCCTTCCTGGGGGTCCAATGCCCCTCCTTGGAAACACCTAGCCTTTGCCTCCCCTCCTTCCTCCCAGGCAGTTGGGGATCCCACTTCACAGAAAGGACCCTTTATCTCTAAGTCCAGGAAACTGTTCCTTAGTCACCTGCCCATCAAGAGCATGACCGCAGCACACAGTCTCCACATGTGTTGGGGGACACATGGAGATGTTCATAGTGAGTGCCAGGGTGGGATGTGGGGATGAGGTGCCAGAGAAATTCTGCAAACAGAGTTAGGAAATTAATCAGATCAAATGTGCTTCTTCCTGGCAGACTTCCACCCTTGTGCAGTGACTCTAGAGGGAGCTGCAGGACCTGTGACTCCTGCACCCATCTGCAGTGCCTGTGGGGTTTGGAATTTGTCGTTTTCCATGAATGCATCCCCAAAGCCCAGAGGGCAACTGACAGGAAGTGACTGCTCGATGAATACTTGAATACTTGTGGAAGGAATGATGGGAGTCCTAGGGGTCAGAGGAGGGAATGCTGAGTATCTAGTCTGACTCTGAGGCCTAGAGAGGAAGGAGAGCCTGTCCCAGGCTTCACAGCAGAGGTGAGGCTACCTGGGTCTTCCTGTCACCCATCCCCAGCTCCCCTTTAACACATAGGCTTGTTAAACACAAGTTGCTGTCCCTTACCTATGTCCCATCCAGCCAATCTAGGTGGGGGCTTGAGAATCTATATTTCCAATGCATTCCCAGAGCCACTACTGGTTTGAGAACCACTCCCCTGTGCACATGTATCCCCCTTTGTCCAGGCTGGAGACACCACAGGAGGAAGTCCAGGAAGGTTTTCCCTTAAACACCAAGTCCTGTCAAGATGACTGCCCCAGGTTGCTTAGCGGCCAGGAGTGACCTGTCCTCCAGTACTAGGCCAAGCTCATTTCCAGCATATCTCAGACCAAAGCTGAGGCCCCACTCAGTCCCAAACCCACCAGGTCGCACTTAGGTCACTGTCGTGCCCTCTCCCAGAGTGTCCAACAACTGCTCTTTATTCTTTAACTGCTACCCTGTCCTGCCTCCAGTGTCCAGCAAAATTCCTGCTGAAGCCACATTTATCTCTCCCCTCCCAGAACACCTCCTGCTTTTGCAATTAATACCATACTAGTTAGTACTTAATTGTTCCAAAATTGTTTTTTGTATGTTTGCCTTCTCTCCACAACCTCATCTATACAGACAGGGACCTCATGGAGCACAACTCTGAGCTCCCAGCGCCTGCCTGGCTGGCCACTAGGCAGTCCTCCGAGGACTCTGCTCTTTCCTTCTCCAGAGCCCCTAGTTCCTAGTCCCTGCCCTCAAGCACCCCACAAAGATTCTGCTGCCTGGAATGCAGAACCAACCTGGAGGTAGATTCCAGCAGCTGGGCCTCATCCCCTTCACCCTAAGGGCTGGACATGCCCCCAGCCAGTCTGCCTCCAGCAGCTGGGCTCAGCACTGTTGGCTGCTGTACTCCCTTCACCTCCTCACCCCTGCCGGTGGGGAGGAGAAATACCACCCAGGAGTTAAGTTGTCGCCAGTGGACACAGGGACTCGAGTAGAGGAGAGTCCAGCAGAGAACAGGCCAAGGGCAACTTGCAGCAGAATCACAGTCCTGGGGGACTCAGTTCTCTGCGCTGAGTCAGAGGAAGACCAAGGGCTGGGGGGGGGAGCTGGGGGCTTGGAATGAAGAGGAATGTGTTTAAGAGATGTGGACAGAGCCAAAGGGACTCATCCCAACAACAGCAGCGAAAGTATTTCAGCCGCAGCCCAAGAGAAACACAGTGAGAGGGGAGGAAGCCAGCGGGAGGGAGGGCAGCCAGCACCAGCAAGAGGGATGAGGAGCGTAGGAGTGGAATGGGCACTGGCCGGATAGACCGTGGGCACCGCACGTGACCCTTCCTCAGAGCAATGGCCTCCCTGGCTCAGGGGAGCAGCCTGCCTGTCCCTAGGAGATGGCCCCACAGGCTGCTCAGGTGGCACCAGCTGCCTGCAGCCCCCGGGGCACCGCTGACGGACAGCAGCAGAAGGAGATGCGTCTCCTTCTCCCAGGCAGCCTTACCTGTTGGCCTGCAGGGCGGCCCTCGTAGGACAAGTGATCAGTAGCAGTGAGGCCTGGCGAGTGTGTCAGACTCTGGACACTGAAATGGGAGAAATGGACAGTGTGTGCACAGGGCCCCACCTGGCCTGGCCCAGGGAGAAAGAAGGGGCTCTCAGGGCTTCCTAAACATAGCTACTGAGACAGTGAGGGGCCTGCCCAGACCTGGTGGCCCAGGCAACCAGGCACTCCCATGCTACACTCACCTGCGGCCAATTGCTGCCTCTCCAGCAAGCATCTGCGGGCTGGTGGGGGGCGGGGTGAAGGGACTGCCTGGCCGGGGGCTGAGAGAGGCTGGGCTGGAGTAGGAAGACCACAGGGAGGACTGGCTGTCAAGGTGCGTTCTCAGGGAGCCCTATGGAAGACAGGGGCCAAGGAAAAAGTTGGCTTGCCCTGCCCAGCACCCCACCCTCAGGCCACCTGCCTCAGGATGGTCACGGTGCTGGGTTTCTGGCTGGAAGGAGCAGCTTACCTGGAAACGTGTTGCCAGCAATTCCAAGGAGCCCTCTCCATTGGTCTGCCCAGGAGAGGCAGCCCGAGACCTTAGGGGACAACAGAGGAAGAGGAGTGTCACAGGGGTCCTGGACCCCCAATTCCCATCGTCACCACACCATTACTGCACACTGTACCCATTCCTAGATGGAACAACATCTGGCTACTTCTAGAGAGGGTTGGTCAGCAGAATTGGTGATCCAGAACAGCAAAAACATCCAGGATGAGGACACTCAGTTGTCAGCTTTTAACATTGCTAAGTTCAAAACAAACAAACAAAAAACTTAACAACCACCATCATCTCTCGAAAGAAATGTGGTTTCTGCACCATGAAGTAGAAAGGACATAGTTTCAACAAAACTTGTTCAATCAATTTTTTAATTAGAAGTTCTTCTCATTACCCATGCACCTCTTTTTATCCATTTCATCTAAACTTTGTCACCAAGCAGCATCAGTTTGTAGATCAATTTTGGGGAACATAGCTGATTTCATACAAATAATTCACATGTATATTTATATGTATGTGTTTATACTCACATATTTTTTCATGGTGCTAGGGTTGAACCCAGGGCCTTACTGGTACCAACTGAGCCCATTCCCCCAGCCCATAATCCTTTCTATTTTAACCCATGGAGAAACTAAAACCATGAGAGGGAAAATGAGTTGCCCAAAGCCTCAAAACCTATCTGTCAATGACTGCCAGATGCCCACTCTCTTCCACCCAAAGGCTTGCCCCCTACCAGCTTTGCCATGGATAATGCTGAGGCAGGCTAGGTTAAGGATGGGGGACTGCTCCTCCCCCTAGCCCACAGGAGAGAAGCCAGGTGATAACTGTTAGCTCCCCACCTTCAAGTTCAAGGTGATATAAAACTACCCACCAAGAGACCCTGACCCTTCTTCTTCCTACGTTCACCTGGCAGAACAGGTGACTCCGCTTCTCTCCATAAAGCTATTCTACCTCACTCCCTCCACATGTTCTGCTTGGAGTCTTCCATTTGGAGCACAAGGACCAAGATGTTCTGAGAACAATTGCTGATAACAATGCCTTTCAGAGAGTCTCTTGGGCCAGGCACCAGTAGCTCATGCCTGTAATCCTAGCTACTCAGGAGGCAGAGATCAGGAGAATCGAGGCTCAAACTCAGCCCAGGCAAATAGTTCCCAAGATCTTATCTCGAAAAAAAGGATCACAAAAAAGGGCTGTTGGAGTGGCTCAAGGTATAGACCCTGGAATTCATACCCCAGTACCCACCCCCCCAAAAAAAAAAAAAAAAAAAAGGTCACTTCCTCAGGCTCCTCCCTTGTAAAATGAGGAGTGGAACTGGCCCCATTTCCCTCCCAGGCAGGTAGCTGAAGGACCTGGAAAGCTGGGGCAGCAAGCAGATCCAGAGTCTTGCAACAGCAGCCATTCAGCAGGGCTCCCCCTTCCTAAAGCTGTTTCCAGTGGAGCTGGCTAGAGCCTAGAACAGAGGTCACTGGAAGGCAGGAGCTGACTGAGGATGAGGCAAAAACCTACTGCCTCCCATTCCCACCACGCCATTACTGCATGCTGCAAACATTCCTAGACAGAACATCTGGCCACTTCTAGAGAGGTCTGTCAGCAGGAATCTTGGCCTTCCTGGGGAGGATGCAGGGTCAGAGGGAGAGAAGCTGAGCTCGGCGTGCAGCCCAGAGGGCCCCAGGGCTCCAGAATGCTAGAGCCATCCGAAGCGGCAGAGGGGGCTTAGCAAAAGGAAGAGACCCAGAGCCTTGACTTGTCTGGTGTAAAGCTGGAGGCTTAGGGTACATAGCCAAGCCCACGTCCCTAATGTCCTGGGAGGAAGTGATGGTATCAGAAGCCCCCGCCCTCCCCTGCCCCAGAATGCAGATTTTGGCTCCATTCCCAAATGCCACAAGGTTCTCTTCACCCTTCTCCTCTGGGTCCTACTCCTGCAAACACTCAGGATCCATATTGGTAAGAAGGGAAGCAGCTTCTTCAGTCCCACAGACAGGACCCTGGGATAAGGAGGACACAGAGGCAGGGCCCAGAAGAAAGCCTGGCAGTGGGGCGGTGGCAGAGAGGCAGGAGGTAGCAGTGCAGGTTGTGGCCTTCCCAGAGGGCTCTCCAGATTGGGGGATCTCTCAACATTCCTGATCTGTGACTCACAGTGTGATGCCCCACCCCAGGGAGCCACCTGTTCCCCTAACAACCCTGGCATCCAGTCTCAAAACCTTCACTGCTAAGACCCAGAGTAGTGATGGGGAGGCAATGAGCTCTGTGATTCCTCCCTCTACCTGAATCTAAACAAACGCCATATCTCAGAGGCAGGGGGCCAGGAGACCCAAACTAGGGCACACCTCACTCAGAAGTTTCCCCTCTTCAGCCACTTCATGCCCACACCCTGTACCCTTCACACTCTTAGGAACCAGTCAAACCCGGGCTTCCAGGTGGCTGGTGCCAGCTTGCCCTGCCCAGCCTGTGGCTGCGTGCCCAGCCTGGCGCCCACCTTCACCCAGCTGGCCACGGAGACACCCTACAGCCCATCCTGCCTTCCTCTCCTGGGCTCCAAGCCTGGAACCCAGAACCCTCCCAAAGATGTGCCAAAACTGCCAGGAAGACCAGGTTGAGGCCATGCTCCAGGCTGTAGACAGGGGTAAGGGCCACTGCCCAGCTGGCAGTGGGCTAGGGGAGGAGGTGGAAGGCTGGCAGGCCCAGTGGAGGTGGCAGGCCTACCGGTCCAGTTGCAGTCGCAGGGGTGAGGCACTCTGGCGGATCTTGCTCTGGGCCTCAGCATGAAGCATGCCCTCTGCACTCTCCCCATTGATGGCCACGATGATGTCGCCAGGCCGGAGGTCAGCAGCCTCAGCCTTGCCCCTCTCTGTTACCTATCAGGGATGAGGAGCCAGGAGCTGATGAGTCTTCGGTACCCACACTGGTGCTTGGTGAAGGATGGAGTGGAGGGGACTCTTCTCTGTTGCCCAGGAAACACAGAAGCTGGACTGAACCCTTGACATCCCTCTTTCTACCCTTCACTGCCAGCTAACCAACTAATCCCTCCAGAGCCCAAGTGGCACCCCCCAGCTCCGCTCCCCTCCCCGCACCACTCTAAGAGAGGCCTCCCAATGAATGTGAAGGCAGAATATCAGGACCTGAGCCTGGAAATACTTTTAGATAGCAAGTCCTGCCTGTCCTAATCACACTTGCCTATGTACTGCCCTCCATGTGATCGTTTCCCGGCCTGGGTCAAGAGGAAATTGCCAAGAACTCACAAGGGCTCTTATCCTATAGCCACCCCAAATGGCTGCCAGCAGGTGTGGGGTTAGTGACCACAGAGAAAAGGGCAGGCCCTATCCTTGGTCCACCCCTAAAATTCTTCCTGAAGTGGCCCCCACATCCCCACAGCAAAAGGACCCACTGTCTCCCTGTAGACACTGCCAGCAGCAGGCCTCAGGCTCCAGAACCAAAAAGGAAAGGCATTTGTGGGGACAGGGCGGGCCTAACTTTGGGGAGTAGCTCCTTATCTACTGGAACCAGCCCTTACCTTGGTCACCATGATGGGTGTGTGGAAATCCCTGCCTCCACTGATGCGGAAGCCCCAGGGTGCCGGCCCCACCACATCCACTGTCAGTGCCATGCCTGAGGAAGAGAAGACTAGGGGGTAGAGCCCACTTCTCCCAAACTACCCCCTGCTAAGAGGGAGAAGAGGGGTGCCAGGTCCCTGGCAGGGAGCTGCCCTTGCCTGGCGGGGGTTGGGGGTTGGTAGAGGAAGTGACTAAGTCCCTCCCTCACCCCTGAGTTTCACTTCCCCCCACTCTGGGAAGCTGTGACTCTGAGTTCCCCCTTCCAGTGGTCTTTAGCCCAGCACCTCCCTGGAGGCACAGATAGGGGCTTGCTGGCAAATGGGTAGGAAGGGGCTGGCAGGTGGCAAGAAACACTAGTATTTTGTCCCTTGCCCCTCCTCCACCACCAGTGCTTGCTTCCTGTCCCCAAAACCAACAGCAAAAGGTACTTCCTCCCCACTCTAGAGGGGAGCGCAGGCAGGCGGCCTGACTCTGCACAGAACAGACAGCAAGGCCTGGGGTGGCCCTACCAGACTATCCAAGAAGTTGGCCAGGTAGAGAGTTGGCTGGGATCAAGCCAAGGTCTTCAGAGGGGCCACCAGGCCACCTGCACAGCCCCTAACAAGATGATTTAGAAGGGCACGATCCAGCTTCCCACCAGCCCTAGGGGCCTGTTGCTCTCTGAACAGCTCGGCCTGGCAAGGAGGTTGGCTCACCTGCCTAGCAGTGCACACCCACCCCCTGATGTGGGCCAGCTGGGGAGTTCACTGATGCTTGTTGCTGGAGGCCCAGGTCTCCCACCCACTGCCCCTCTGCCAGGCTAGGGAGTGTCCTTGTGGACCAGACCCTTCTAGGATTTCCTGAGCCTCTAGGTCTGGAGCCAGGAGCCAATTTAGGCAGGAAGCTGCAATGCCAAAGTGGGCACCACCCAGCCCAGCACCATCCTGGGGAGGTCCAGAGTCTGCCAGTGCTGCAGGAACACTGAAGAACATCAGGACCCAAGGGAGCGGGTACCCAGGTCAGCAGGTCCATCTTCCCGTCCCCAGTCAACTGCCCTCTCCTGCCACCCAAGCCTGGCCTCTGGCCCCAGGTCCCCAGGCCCCGGGGCCGATCTTTGGAAGTTCGAAAAGGCCCCCGAGATTCCCAGACCTTTGAGCCTGCTAGTGGACTCCGCGCTGCGGGCGCCGCAGGGAGGTGCCCAGCTTGTCAGCCCGGCTCTCCCAGTTCTGGAGCCTTCTTCCCACCAAGGCCAAAGTACCACCGCGGCCCGGGGCTGGAGGAGGAGCGACCAGGTCACGGGGAACCCAGGCCACCGGGGGCGCCCACGCCGTGGAGAGGCTGCAGGGAGAGGGGCTGTGGGCGATGGTCAGGGTCCCGGCCCGAGACCCATGAGGGCGCCGGGGGCGGTGCGGAGGGTGCGCAGGTGGGCGCGCTCACCTGGGTGCCGCTCACCTGTCAGGCTGGGCAGACGGGCCCGGGAGGAAGAGAGCGAGGACCCGCTGTCGCTCCCGCTGCCGCCGTCTGCCCGACTCTAGGGAGAGCCCGCCCGGGGCTCCGGGACCTGCCTCCGCCCATGTGATCCCGGGGCCGCCCCTGCCGCCGCCCCTGGCCCGGGAAGCCGCCTCCTCCGCTCTGCCGAGCACGGGCGCAGCCACCTGGCCCGCGACCCGGGGGGGACATTGGGGACAGGCTCTCCCTAGAGCTGCCTCTAGGCTGCGGTCGTCCTTCCGAGGTGCCTGCATCCTCCCGACCTCCCCTGAGTACAGGGGAGCAGTTCAAGTGACAGTCCCCGTCAACACCCGCAGACAGCGGAGCCGTCTGCAGGCCGCTGGCTTGGCGTGGCCACCGCAGATCGTTCTCTGCAGCACAGAGCTGTCTGCCTAAGATGCGGGGGCAAGCTTTCTCTGCTTTGGGCTGGAGGCCAGGGCAGGGAGGAGATGAAGAGAGAAGGTGGCCTGACAAAAGGTCACAGGAACCTCTTTTCCCTGCTGGCCTGCCTAGAGTGGACCATCCCCAGCAACCTCAATGGCCTGCCCAGCCCCCCCTTTGCCAATCTCCTGGAACCTCCCTCAGGCTCGCAGCAAGAGGACCCATCTGGCTAGTGGTTCCCCCAGAGCCTTACCTGGCAACCCTCACCCTAGGGAACTCAGGGCCCACACGGCTGCCTCCTGGCTCTTCAATTGGTTCCACAAACTTGGCACTATTGGGAGCACACCTGTGGGCACAGCTGTAAACTGCCTGCCTCAGGTGTGAGTCATTCTCTCTGGGTGAGCTTGTCCTCACCACTCTTCTCACCTACCAGAGTCATCCTCCCTGCACTCTAGGTCCAGCTGCCTCCTAGGCCACCTCCCGGCCCCACCTCCCACAGCCTACTCCTGGGTGTGTAAACCGCTCTCCCATGGCCTAATCCCGGGCCTTCTGGGTGGGCCCTTTGCTGCTGCATCTGCTCTACATCCCCAGCTAGACTGGAAGCCCTTTGTTGGTTTTGGTGCTGGGCAGCGAACCCCCCAGGACCTTTCTCTACCACTGAGCCTCACTTCTAATCCCTAGCAGCCTACTGAGAGAGCAAGAAACCTTAGGTAGGACAAGCACAACCTTAGGGTCACAGAGACCTAACTTCAAGTGCCACATCTGCCTTTCACTATGTGTTCTTGGGCATTTCCTCAGCTCTTTGGGCCTCAGTTTCCCCACATCCTCTTGCTGTGCTGAGCAAAGTCCAAGGATTGCAAAGACGTGTAAAGTCGAGCCTGTCACAAATGAGGGGTGGAGGAAGGTGGCAGGGAGGAGAGGTCAAGGAAGGGAAACTCATTCATTTGACTCATCCACTCAATGAGTCAAACAATATTCATTCAACAAAGGTTTATTGAGAGCCCACTGTGTGCCAGGCACTGTGCCAGGCAGTCCTCAGGGGTGTCTCTTGTGTGCCTCGACAGGCTTTATGAATTCTGAAGTTGCCTGCACTTTAGTTTGTGTGTTCACAAATCCCATCAAAAGACAAGTCAGCTGGCCAAGGCACAGAAGAGATCTGTCCTGCTCTAAGTATCTCTCTGGCCTGAGTGTAAGCCGCACTCCCTCACCTCTCTGATGGGCGAGCAATTCCCAGCAGCCTCTGACCCTCCCTTTCCCTTCCTGTCATACCAGGTCAAGGCACTAAAGTGGTCATCTTGCAGACTGGGCAAGTGGCAGGCAGCCCTGGGACAGAGAGTTGTCTGCTGGGTGAAAGGTTCCAGGGCCCCATCAAAGAGTATAGGTTTGGTTTCTGACCAGGGAAGAGGTCTCAACAATGATGTTTCATGAGAGGACAAGGAATATGAACGCAGCTTGAATGGAGGATTGAAAGCAAGTCAGCAGGGTTCTGAAGATTGATCGTTTCCAGTACAGGATGGGCTGGAACTGTTGACTTAGAGCCAGACCTGGTAAGCCCTGGGTGGAGGGAATGGATGAAGGAGGGCATGCAGGTCTCATTCTTCAAGCTGCTGTTTAACCACCACAGGGGCCAAGGCCACACCCGGGTTCAAGGAACCAGCTAAGGCCAAGCCACTGCCCTGGGGGCCCAGGCCCTCCCCACTGTCCTGACAGAACTAAGAACCACCACCCTTTATGTCAGCCACCAGCTAGACCCATCTGCCTGGGATGGGCACATCTTAAGTGACAGAATATAGAGGCAGTCCAACCCTGGGCTACCCCAGGCCAGTCCTTGACCTCCTATGCGACCCTCTTCCTCCAGGGGCCTCCGAACAAGCACTGCCTGGTAGACTGTGTGCAGTGAGGCAGACCTGACTTTAATAATGCCACATGAAATTCTCAGACCCTGTTTCCCGTAAATGGAACCCTACTCTGCTAGTTGTGATGCTCACAGCAGGTGACATGAGTAGCACCTTATTCCCGGCTCAACTCTAAGCAGCAGCCAAGAATGGAGCTTTCCTTTCTTGGAGGAGCAGCTAGGCCTGGGCTATGCCATAGCTGATGTCCCCTAGGAGCCACCAAGCCCTGGGATTCTAAAACTTTGGGTGAAAATAGTTGCTTTGGCTGGCTGTATATCACCACTCCCATCTTCCTGCAACTGCTTGCTCAAAAACTCAAGCCCAAAGAAGAAAATAAACAAACATGCACTTTGATGTGGAAATAAGAGTGCACAGAAGGAAAACATTAGCTGGAGAACAGTTAGAAATGGCATCTCATCCAGCCACCCATGATGGCAGCTCTAGAATCAAGAACAAGGCCACATTCAGTCCCTGACTCTAATTTCTCCCCAGTCAGGCCCCACCTTGGCCCAGGTGACTTCATTCTCAGTTGCCTGGTCCTGGGGGCTGCCCCAGACTGCCTGACACCCCAGAGCTGAGATCTTAGATAGCAATGGTGCTTTTCCAGCCTCCCCTCTTACACACCTGTCTGACCTGCCTCCCAGCACAGTCTGCTACAGAAAGAATTTCCACAATCCTAAGGGGGCGGAGGCCTCTCCCACCCCAAAGGAAAAGGACTCAGACAAAAGGTCCCTGGTATCCAGATTTATTTTACATTCTCTTCCAGAAGGAACCTGGGCACTGAGGGGAGCTGGAAGGCAGGAGGACAGCATATCTCCCTGTAAGTCGTGTAGCTAGTCCAGCGGCTGTGTGCCATGGCCCAGAGGATGTGCAGAGTCCAGGTGAAGGGCTCAGCAGCCTCTGGGAAGAGGAGATCTTGAGGCAAGACCTCTCACTAGGCCTCGAAGGCTGAGAAGGTACGCATCCATCGCCACCTCGCTCCCAGGCCCAGCTGGAGGGCAGAAGGCAAAGGGGCAGCAGCAAGCTGGTGAGCAGGGGGAAGAGACTTGCAGGCCCAGGAGGCCTTTGGTCTCCATCAGGGTAGGGGGCTGGTCCTTGTTAGCAGAACCCCATGGGGGTGAAGCCAGGAGCCAGTCCCTGTCAGAGGAAATGCCATGTGGTCGGGGGGAAGGGGAGGGTCGGGTCTGATCTCAATAAGGCCTGGAGACAGTCTCCACTTCAAAGCAGACGTCTGTATTTGGGGGGTGGTGAAGGGGTTGTCAGAGGAATGCCTGTGAGTTGCGAGTGGGAATGCGTCCAGGGGACTTCCAAGGGGCTCTGAGGAAAGGCTGCTGGGGTCTCTGCAGATGCTGGGAGCGCAAGTCCTAGGGGAGGAGTATGTAGGAGGCCTCGCTCCCCCCCCCATAAGTGCTACTGCTTCCACCTCATCTTTGTTGGCTCCAGTTGCCACAGAGACCACTCACACCGGGGCTACGTAATTTCCAGGGAATGTCCCAAATTTCTGGGTCCTCCGGGAGACACCTGAAAGAGGAAAGACGGGAAGAGCATTCTCCCCACCACTCCTTCATGAAAGCGGAATGTAGGAAGAGGCCCTGTCCCCTACTGGCAGCACCCAGAACTGCATGTAGAGTCTCCTTCCCAGGGAAGGGGGTGGGGAGGAGGGATGACTTGATTTCCTGTCCTCATTCCTGCCGCCTAGTGGCAAAAGCTTAGATAGGTCAAGCTGCACTTCCAAATTCCATAATCAAAGAATCAGAGCGATCAACATGTGCATGCAACTTTGCACACAGTACTGAACAACTCCACCCCTCTTTGGCAGGAGAGGGAGGAAGCAGGAGGGTGAATCACAGCACTTCTATCAGGAGGAGTTAGATGGTATGGCGTGCTCATTTTAGAGATGGGCTGGTAAGGCCAAAGAGAAGGCCCAGCGAACCACCCCAAACCACTGGGCTGTTTAGGGGAACAATGGGACTGCAATCCAAGTATCTGCTGTGCTACGGCCCCAAGGAAGCCTGCATTGTGGGGTGAAGGAAAAGGGAATGCTAGGAAAATAGAATGGAATGAAGTTTCGGTAAACTGACACCCTGGGCCTCTCTCCCAGGCTCTCACCTTGACTTTCTACCTATGCCCTTCCCGTCTTAGTTCCCTCCAGGATCCCTTCCCTGACCAAATCAACAACCACTAGCCACAGGTCACAGGTCACAATGATGAAATATGCTAGAGTGACCCAGCGGCTGAATTTTTTATTTTCTCTCATTTTAATTAATTTAAATGTAAGCAGCCACATGTGACTACTGGATAGTCCACTGGAAAGTGCAAGTCTAAGCCATTCCTCCAAACATTGTGGGGTTTTGTTTGTTTATTTGTTTTGTTAGTGGGACTGGGATTTGAACTCAAGGCTTTGTGCTCGCAAAGCAGGTGCTCTGCTGCTTGAGCCACACCTCCAGTCCATTTTGCTCTGGTTATTTTGGAGACGGGATCTCATGAACTATTTGCCAGAGCTGGCCTTGAACTGGGATCCTCCCAAGTAGCTAGGATTATAAACATAAGCCCCTGGCATTCAGTTAGCATTGTGTCTTGTCACAAAACTGGTGACTTTTCTTCTTACTTACAGAAATCTGCAAAACCATATTAATGGTGTAAAAGAAATTCAAGAGCAAAAGTGTGCAGAGTAAAATTAGAATGAGCTTGAAGCTCAGAAATAAGGATTACTAACAGGGTAGGGTTTAATAATCACTAGTATATCGGAAGCTTGGTCAGCATTGAGGTCTTAGGAGTCATGTCAGAAAGGCTGCGCTGCCTGGTCAAGGGTCTGCCCTGTGGCCACTCTTGCCCAGGCAACCACTACCCTTTCAGCCCTAAAGCCTGCTTGTCGGAGGTAGGGCTTTCTGGCTGTTCACTTCTCTCCTTGGCCTATCTTTGAAGCTGAGGCCCAGACAGGATTTGCCCACTCTGGAACCAGGTTGAGACCAACTAAGGCTTCCTGTGTTAGTCCTCTGCCTGCGCTGCCTTGGGCTGGCATTGAAGGCCAAGATCTTTCTCTGCTCCTTCCTCTTCCCAGGTTGGAGGAGCAGTCCTGGGGGAGGTTTTTTGTGGGGAGAGGGGAGACACTGTGTAAGACCCTTTCCACCAAGGTCCTGCCCCAAGAGGAAGTGGTGTGTGGTGGGAACGGGCAAGGTCCTGGAGGTCAGGAACCATGTCCTGAGTCCATAGCTCCATCTGTGACCCTAAGCTGGGGTAGTTTCCCCTGGGCCTCATGCTAAGTCAGAGCATGAAGGAAGGTGGTTAACAGAAATGCTGGCTTCAGGAACACACTTGGTGCCAGGCCTGCCCAGTTAGCCAGGTCCAAGGTCAGGAGGGTGGTCATGAGGCCATAGTCAGTGCTGCAGGCAGCAGCACACCCGATCCCCTGGCAACTCTGAGATACTCTTTTGGCTTGTCCCCCACCCATTCCCCAGCCCCACATACCCACAAACCAGCCATCATCACACTGCTGCATGACATCCACCCGGTCCCCTTCACGCAGCTCCAGCTCATCCTCGTTCTGGGGCCTGTACTGGTACATTGCCCGGTACCTGTAGGAAATGGCACCATGACAGCCAGGGACCTCAGCCCTTTCCCAGACCTGCCAATTCCTGTGAATATCCCCAAATGCCCATGTTCCCCTCCCCATCCCTATAAGGACAAGCAGCTTCTGGTAGGGGTTTCCCAAATCCTTGGGTTGGGGAGGATGGAATTTGGGCCCAGTGTGCTTAGCACTGCCTGCTGGTGACCCTCACTTCTGACCAAGCACCCTCAGAAGATACTCACGGGGTCCAGTGTATCTGCAGGGATTTGGGGGAGGAGGCCCCCAGGTCCAGGGGACGGCTGGAGCTTCGAGGGTGGGACAGGGCTGGCTCAGAGGTGCCAAGACTCTGGGATTCACAAGAAGAAAGGAGGGCCACAGGAAGGAAGCATGAGGAAGGAGAGGTGAATGGGCATCCCACCTGGCCTGCTGAGGGTCTTACACACAGCCTCATCCTAGCCCACAAACCCCCAGGTACAGGAGGGCAAGTGACTGGAATTCGGCATGGACAAAGCCGGTACCCTGAAAGAGTCCTGTGCCACTGACCCCACTTGGAGCAGCACGCTCCAAGTGCACACTGCAGACTCCCTCCGCCCACAAATAACACCTGTCTTAATCTACTGGCCACCATACACCCTACCCTCTCCAGTGGGACTATCATCCTCATTCCACAGCAGGGAAACCGAAACCCAGAGAGCTTGAGTCACCAGCTCTGGCTCCTACCATCACCTGCTGAGAGGCAGACACCAGCCAACAGTGGGAGTAGCAGCTAGAGAGTCAGGGATCCTGGGCTGGCTTTGAGGGCCTACCTAGAGCTGGCAGACTGCCCAGATTTCCCTAGGCTGGAGCTCAAAGGCCTGAACCAACTCGGGGGGCTTAGGGTTTGTAAGGCTGGGACGGAGCCGCATGCTAGGTTCTGCCCAGGGCTGTCAGGGCAGGACTGCCAGCATGGACCAGCCACAGGGTTGAGGAGGTGCTTTGGGAAACAAGATACCTCTCACCTGGGTCTGGGATCTGGGCTCCTCGGCAGGGAAGGAGAAGCCAGCGCGGCGGGGAGAGGTCCGGCCTCCCCAGTCCGTGGGATCAGCTGGGCTGCGTAGCGCTGATGGGGAGCTGGGGTGATGAGCCAGGCGGGCGGCAGTGGTTAGGCGGGGAGACCCAGGGAGCTGGGGGCCATCGTCAGAGACCCGGAGCCGGGGCTCACGGCTCACCTGCACATAGCTGGCAGGGAAGATACCCTGGCGCCCTGTGCCTGTGATGCGCCCCTCGTACCAGTTCTCATTCACCTTGCGGATCAGACAGATGCGCTCCCCCTAAGGACAGGGAGGAGGGAGTGGGTGTCGACAGGGCCCTCCTCAGCATCACACACCTTCACCTGAGGGTGCTGCACCTCACCTGTCTCAAGGCCTAATGCCTTCCACTCAGGAGGGATCAAGCTCAGAGGGGGCAGCAAGTTAGCCAAGGTCACACAGCCAGAAAGGGGAGGAGTCAGGAGCACGAGGAAGTCCAAGCTCTTCCCAGAGCAGGTGGCACTGGGTACAGATCCAGTCCTGCCTCTTTATGGAGCCCACCTGGCATGCATCCTACACTCAGAGTTCATAGCACTAACTCTTCTTACAGCTCAATCATAAGGGAGCCTGTGGCTAATTATCCACGTGCAAACCAAGCTCTACCAAGTCTAAGCTGTGTGGCCTTGGGCAAACTGCTCTGCCTCTCTGAGTTTGGTTTCCTCATATATTGAAGGAAGATAACCATGCTGCCGCTGTGAGGTGCAAGCGAGATCAGTGGTGGACTGGTAAGAAGCTCTGGATAGTTGAGTGTGGTGATGCGCCCCTGTAAAGGTGGAGATCGAAGGATCTCAGTTCGAGGGCAGCCAGGGCAAAAAGTTAGTGAGAACCCCATCTCATTAAGTAAGCCAAGCATGGTGACATGTGTCTGTAATCCCAGCTACTCCAGAGCAGAGATAGGAGCAAAAAGTGTGAGACTCTTTCAAAAAAAATAACTAAAACAAAAAGGCCTGGATGTGTGGCTCAAGTGGGTAGAGCACCTGCCTAGCAAGCCCAAGGCCCTAAGTTCAAATTCCCATACTACCACCACCACGGGGAAAAAAAAAAAACTCTAGACAGGAGTTAGGTGATCCTGCCATGAGGATATCAAAACGCAAACTTCCTGAGGACTGGTTGCGTTCTTGAGCCCACACATTATGGAGGTTAGGGGCAGAGCCACCACCACCTTGTGGGCTGCTCCCAGCCTTGGCCCTGCCCCGCCCTCTCCTGCCTTCTCCCATCCAGTCACCTCCTTCCCTCTCTGTCCCTGAGGCCAGTTTTTCTGTGTGGACTCAACAAGGGGTCATTCACAGCCACTGCCCCCAAAATCAAACAAAGGGAGTCCATAGTTCTTTTCTTACCATAATCTATAGCAAAAGATGAATCCGAATAACAGCCCCAGAACACACACACACACTCACACACATATATGTGCACACGTAATGTCCTATTCGTTTTCTTTGCAGTGCTGGAGAAAGAACCCAGGGCCTTGCACATGCCAGGCAAGCACTCCACCACTGAACTACATGAACAGACAAAAGCCTATATTTCTGTCTACTCTTTTAAAATTTCAGATTATGCCAGGTGTGGTGGCTCATGCCTGTAACCTCAGCTACACAGAGTGAGGAGGAGGATCGCAGTCTAGGGACAGCCCCAGGCAAGAGAGTGAAACTTTATCTGAAAAGTAACAATATAAAAAGAGCTAGGGGTGAGGCTCAAGTGGTGGAGTGCCTGCCTAGAAAGCACAAGGTCCTGAGTTCAATCCCTAGCACTGCCAAAAAGCATGTAGATTGTAATCCACACGGCCTAACAACCTGCAGACAAAAACACAGCTCTAGAAATTCCTAACACTCTTTTAAAATAGACTAAATTGCCAGGCACAGTGGCACGTGCCTATTATTATTATCCCAGCTATGCAGGAGGTGCAAACAGGAGGACTGGAGGAAAAAAACAAAACCATGAGACCCTATTTGAAAAAAATAACTAAAGCAAAAAGGGCCCAGGAGTATGGCTCAAGTGGTAGAGCATTTGCCTACCAAGGGTAAGGCTCTGAGTTCAAATCCCAGTACTGTCCCCCCCGCCTCCAAAAAAAAAGACTAAGTTAAGGGGAACCTATTCTTAGAGGTTGGGGGTGGCGGGTGAATTGAAATTCTGGATACAGATGAGCACATCTGACTCTTTAAAAGAAAATATTTTTCTGTACATTTATCTATGTCTTCACCTGTTCCCACCCCACCACCTCCTGCCTGGTCCCACCTTTCGGAAGGACAGCTCCACCTCCAGGTCCCCCTTGAAGGTGTACTGGGCAACAGCTTCTCCATACTCCACCACCTGGTAGGTGGGGGGCTTGATGGGCTTGGGGATCTCATCTGCAGGTAGCACCTGCAGGAAGAAAGGCCGTGAGAAAGGTTCAGTCCAGGATCAAGTGGGCACACGTCTGGGTTCCTGGGAGGGTGAAGCAACACAGAGAAGGTGGTACAGGTAAGAGCTTCCCCTGGCCAGACAGATGAAGATACCAGACACAGGCCTGGGGGTAGCAGGATGACCACAGCCAAGCAGGGTGAGGGGATTAGTCCAAGAGGGCTTCCTGGAGGAAGAATTTTCAGTAGAGGACTATGGAATGGGGAATAGCAAGCTGAAAGGTAGAAACCAGTCCACTTAGAGTCAAGCTGAACCATGGAGGGAAGTGAAGCACTCCAAGTTGCAGGAAGCACCTGTTCTAAAACTGAGGACTTAGCCAGGTGCTGGTGGCTCATGCCTGCAATTAGGAGGATTATGGTTTGAGGCCAGCCCAGGCAAAAAGTGAAACCTTATCTCAAAAATACCCAACACTCAAAAAAGGGCAGGTCAAGTAGCTCTAGTGATAGAGCACCTGCCTAGCAAGCATGTAGGCCCTGAGTTCAAACCCTAATACCACCAATAGCTGAGGATTTAACCTTTTACCACTTCTGAGAACCAACTGCCCTTGGTTCAAGTGTCTTGGCTCCTCCTCCCCTTCTATCCCTTCTCCCCCATGCTCTCTTTGTTTCATGCTGCTCGTAAAAATCTGGAGCTAATCAATTATTTCATACTAATATATAAATGACTGCTAGCAAGCACAGGGGTCCTGAGTTCGAACCCCAGCACCATCAAAAAATAAATAAAAATAAATGACTGATTGAGCAGAATACTGTATACGCTTTGTAAAATTTCAGGATCAGAGAGATTAATCTGGGATTAATCTGGAAGCAAGAGCCTGTTAAACCACCATTCATGAATCAAAAAGGAAGTCACAAAGGAAGTGAGAAAATATTTCAAGTTGAATGAAAACAAATTTTGTGAGATGCAGCTAAAGAAGTGTTTAGAGGGAAATTTATACATGAAATGGTTTTCTTAGGGAAAAAAAAGTTTCAAATCAATAACCTAAACTTTTACCCTAATGATTAGAACAGGAAAAGCAAATTACAATTATTAAGCAAAAAGAAGGAAATAACACAGAGTTCAAAAATCAATGAAATTGGAAACAAAAACAGAAAAAAATTAAGGAAATAACAAGCTGATTCTTTGAGAAGATCAAGAAAATTAATAAATCTCTAGCCAGAATGAGAAGACATAAATTGTCAGTACCAGGAATGAACAAGCGGACGATCACAACAAGTTTTACTGACATTAAAAAGAAATAGCATGAATTAGCCTTACGGCAATAACTTAGACAATCTGACATTTAAGACACAAATACTAGGCTGGTAGAGTAGATCAAGCAGTAGAGCACCTGCCTAGCAAGCATGAAGCCCTGAGTTCAAGCCCCAGTACTGGAAAAAAAAAAAAGACACAAATACCAAAGGTAACCTGAAGCCCTCTCTCAAGTCTAGAACCTGCATCAACCTGAATCATCTTAAGCAATTTTTCACCAAACCATTGAAACCCCACCTGTAAAACTGGAGTAACTACCACTGCAGGCAGTGAGAGGAACAGAGGCGGTACACCTGGAAGAAGTGGTGTTTATATGTGTGATTGTCACACACTTGGCACTAGTGCTTGCTGTTTTTAGGATTATCCTCAAAGAAGCCTTAGAAAGATAGGTGCTGAGTGGTGAATCTGAGCCATTGATGGGGTGGCTTCTGGGTGAGGAGCTGGGCCACTCGGTTCTCCCCTGGGCTAGGCTCCACCCTCATTTAGGAAGCTTTTCCTAAGTACATGCTGAGTACTGAACCCGGCCCTGTAGAAGGCCAAAGACATTCAGGACAGGTGGCCCCTGTTCCCCATGCTTTTGAATCTTAGGATACCCCAGGGTCTGCACTCAGTCTTTCCCAACCCGTAGACCCTCCCAGCCTGGCCCTGGCCTCCCACTCACCTCCACATAATTGGCAGGGAAGATGCCCAGCCTGCCATGGTGCTCCCCCTCTAGCCAGTTCTTGTCCACCTCCTTATGGATGTAGACAATGTCACCTTTCTGCAGAGTCAACTCCCTGCAGGAACAGCAAGGACATCACAGCAAGCTGAGCTGGTGCTCCCCCAGTCCCCACATCCCCTCTGGGGATGCCCCCGAAGCCCTGTTCCCCCTCCCCCATCGTGCAGAGATGGCCCAGGGTAGAAGGGGAGGATTAAGAAGACCACTTACTTGGGGGACTGTGCTTGGAAGTCAAACTTGAGCCGAGCGGCCTTCCTCTGGGCAGGGGGAGAGGACAGAGTGGGCTACTCAGCCAAGCAGGGGCAGGTCTAGAACAGCAGCCACAGGGGCCAGTGCAGGCCCTCCGTGTCCCAGACCCTGGTCTGCCCTCCTTACCTTCTTCTCTTCCTTCTTGACTGGGCTGGCACCTCTGTTGGAGGCACTAGTGTCTGTGAAGAAGCACCACCACCTCAGCTCGGGGAGGTCATGTCTGGGGGTGATGGGGTCAGGATGGGGCTATGCTCCCTTCCTCCACCTCCATCCAGGACAAGGCACCAGGGAAGCAAAAGGCTCTGTGACTCTCTCCCCCCAGGCACCCAGTATATCTGGTAAGCAGATGTCCAGGTGGGAATAAAAGTAGGATTTCATCTTACCTCGGGCTGAGGATGGGTAAACAAAATCCCTACGACCCAGGAAGGGACTTCCTCCTCCATCCGCCATTCTGTGGGGGCTTAGAGGTCGGGAGGACCCCGAGTAAGGTGCATTCAGGGAGCTGGACCTCCAGGCTGAGGCCGGGCTGCAGGGACATAGAGAATGAGCCACCTGTTTGAAGCTTCACACCGCACCAGGCAGGTCCCCAGACCTCCCTGACCCTCAAGTCTACCCGCCACCCCCATCCTGGTCACCTCCTCTCAAGGAGTGACTCCCAGGTCCGGGGCTCTCAACAGGATGTCCTACTTCCCCTGCAGCAGCAGCCGGGAAAGGGTGAGGCCCTGGGCTTGGAGAGGGGGAGGCGGCCGAGGGACCCGAGTGCGCGTGGGAAGTGGCGGGGCTCCGGTCCCACCGCCGCCACCCGCGTCCTCGGGCTTGGGGACAGATAACCCTCGGGGGTGGGGGGGGTGGGGGGCAAGCGGACCGCCAGTGTGGAGAGCGGGGACTCCGGGTCCCCCGGCCACTTTTCCGCTCTCGGGGCCCTCCTCGCGCCTCCCCACCCGGGCTCTCCCGTCTCCCGCGCTGGGCCCGGCGCCCACAGCTCGGTCGGTCCGCCCCGCGCCACGTCCTCTCCGGATCCCTCCCGCGGGGACAGACCGTCCTCGGCCCGCGCCTCTGCCACTCACCGGGCCGGGGGCCGCTGCTCTGTGCGTCGTCGCGGCGCCTGCGAGCTCTGTGCGGGGACACCGGGTGCGATCAGGACCCGGGACCGGAGCCAGCGCAGCCCAGGCCGCCGCCTCCGGAAAAGTTTGCGGCACCGGAGGGAAGGAGGCGGGGAGGGGCGGGCGGGACGCGGGGTCCTAGAGGCGGCCGCACGGCGGGAGCCGAGGCGCGGGAAGGGCGCGCGGCGGGAGAGGGAGGCCGGGCCGGGGAAGCCAGGATCGGGTCGGGCCGGGGATCCCTGGGGCTGCGACTCGGGGCGGGGCGGGGCGAGGCGGGGTGGGGGCCCGGGCTGACGTGGAGTGGGCCGGGAAGGGTTCCTGGGGTCACTTGGAAAGCCGACGCCCTGCGTTTTGTAAAGGAGAGCAGACTGGCCAAAGTCCGCCCAGGGTCACCAAAGCTGATCCCCTTGCCCTCCCTCCACCCAATCTGACTGCTGCGGCCAACGGCGACCCCCCAGGAGGACCCCGGGAGGCCGGTACCTTTGGGGACGGCAGCCGGGTCTCAATTGCCCGCATGTCCTTGTCCAGCTCGGCGCTCAGCTTGGCAAGCTCTTTCTCCAGCAGGACCTGGGGGTGGGGAAAGACTTAGGACAGTGGAGGGGGCGTGCGGGGGTGGGGGGGGGACAGTGCACAGTGGGTGGGGGGGCTGGTCAGAGATGTGGGAAGCAGGTGAGGTCACACGTGCTGTGGTCAAGAGCAGAACTCAGGGAAGAGGCCAGGACAGCCACTTGCCTGCGGGACTGCAGGAAGGTGGGGCTCAGGGTGTCAGTAGGACATCGCTGCCACCTCTTCCCAACCCAGCACCCAGGGTGCTGACAGTGCTGCAGTACTTCCTGAGGGTGCTTTCCTACCTTTTAAAAACTTTTTTTCCCCCATGATAGTTCTCTGTTCAAGAGCCTCAGGGTTTCCCTATTTCCTCCTCAGCGTCATCTATGACCTTCCACAGCCTGGTGTCACCGTACCATGCAGGCCTCCAGTGGACTGAGCGTCAGTCACACACACTCATATACATGCATGTGCACATGTGCAAGTGCACACACACACTACTTCTCCCCAGAGCAGCCATCTCTCTGCCCAGCCAAGCTGAGCTCCAAGTTCAAGAATTTTCCCTGATGGCTCCAGTCCACACTGACCACTCCCTGCTCTTGTTCTGGTCCAGGTGTACGTATCCGCACATTTTGTGAGCACTGTATGTCAGGGTCCTGGAGACGGAGAACTGGGAGCCAGAGCCTTTGGAGTGTGACTTTTGTCTATGAACACTAGGGCCCAAGACACCCCAGATTCTCCTCTGTTTATCCTCAAGACCATTGCCCCCCCACCACCACCGAGCTGCAGCTCTCACCTCAATGGGCTGGGAAGGCTTCTCCACAGGATTGTCCACAAGTGGTTTCTTTGGCTGAAGGGTAGGAAGAGATGTCAGAGGGGGTGAACTCCTTTCCAAATGCTCCAACTGAGGGGTGTGTCCACTCCCAGAGGACCCAGTGCCACTCACCTTCTGCCCAGTCTCTAGTTCTTGTAAAAATTGGTTCCGAGAGTCTTCTGTCCGGACATTCTCTACCTTCTCTTGGCGTCTAGGCACCTGTGTGGATGGGGGTGACCACGGCTTGAGTAGAGAGCTGCTGGAGCGCTGCCCAGCCTCAACACACAGGTTTGCAAGTCCTATCCTCCCCCCATGCTCACGAGTGCTCTCCTGAGGATGCAAGCCTAAACAGCATGGTCTGTGCTATCTCAGCGGAGGGGCTTGGCTAGATAGCGTGCAGAAGGGGTTGGTGTGAGGAACATGTTGGGTGGGCTACCTGGTTTGGGGGCTGGCGCCCTGGGGGTATGTTGCAGGTTTATAGTTGAAGGTGCTTCTAGGTGTCTCTTCAGAGTGCTCCCAGCTTCTTCTGAAGAAAGGGAAGCACAGCACTTCAGAACACAGCCCTGGGAGAAGAAGCCTCCCTTTACCTCTAACCCCATCCCCACCAAGGGGCCCACATTGCCTCTGCCTTCCCTTGCCTTACTATGGGAACAGTATTAAATAGTGGAAAGTGTGTGAGATCCAAGTTTAAATCCCAGCTCTACCCACTAGTAGCTGAAAGGCCTTTTGGCAAGTTATATACAGCCCCAGGCTCAAAACCTATAAAATAAGAGTAAATCAGTGAGGAAACATACAAGGTGCCTAGGAGAAGGCCTGACACAAACTATTGCTCCATGGTGGCCAGGCCCTTTCCTGCTGGCCTTCAGGAAAGTGTCCTGCATTTGTGTTAGGAGTGGTGTATGTCTGTGAAACTGGTCTTGCCAGCTGCCACAGCTGAGTGGTCTTACACCCATGGCCAATAGGGCTACATTCTTTTCCAAGAAAAACCTGGGGGCAGCAAGTACAAGAGCCCTGGATGAGTTATTTCTTCTCCCTGGGTCTCAGTTCCATGGGGGCTGGAGTCAGTGACCTCATCTGTGTAGCCATGCCAGCCACTGAGGCAATGCACTGTCCTGTCTACCTGAGCTCCCCTCCAAGGCTCTTTTCCTGGCTAGCTTTAAATAGCCCAGCTTCTGGTTTTAGTCTGAAAGTTTCTACCAAGTGGAACCACTGCATCAAGCTTATCCAATGATGGAATGTCTAACCAGAGCGTCAGGATTTGCTGGTTATAATTATGACTCCATTCTGATTTTGGTAATAAAGTCATCATGAGATTGGAATGTGTTGTTTTTAATGGAAGGCTTATAATTGAACTTGTATGTTGCTAAAGTTTGCAGACTTGCTATGCACCATGATGCAGGATGCATATATGATCTCAATCAACCCTCACAACTTCAGAGCACAGACAGCCCAAGCTGTCTTCACAGAGAAAGGAATTCCCTCCTTCCGTGCTCTCAGGTGTGCGTCTCAGCCTCTTGGGTTCATTCCCACCACTGTGTTTTCACTAAGTCTTCAAAGTGGATTGCCACAGGTCTAAGCTCCCTTAACAGCTTCTATCCCCAGTACCCTAGACAAGCCCCACTCCACAGGACCCCTGGGTCTTTGGGGAGGTGGGTTTCTCATGCTGACCACAAGCATGGTATTATTTTAGTAAAACTGTAACAGGAGTGGATACCAGACCCACTCTTGGCCACCATTCCCCTTTGGCCCCGGGAAGTCAGAAGTCTTGGGGTGGTGGAGACCCATCAGAGACCAGAGGCTATGCTGACTGTGGCCACGAGGGGGCACCAGTCCCCACAAGGAAGCGCCAGCGCAAGCCCACCCACTGCTCACCCTCTGGGAGTCCCTCGGGGAGTCACTGCGGGGCTGGTCCTGGAGGCAGGTTTTTGCTGGAGCCCCGGATGCCTGGAGTCTGTGGAGGTGGCACAGGAGGAAACCACTGGTGGTGGAAGAAGACAGGCAGGGGCTGGAGATGGGTGACAATTTAAGGCAGCACCTACCTCCACCCTAGCTCCTAGGTGGCTAGCTGGCCGGGACAGAGGTGGGCTCTGGGCCACTGCAAGGGAACGTTACCTTAAGAGCTCTACACTCTTTACAAAATCTTTAAAACAGCTTCAGGGCAGGTAATGTCCCCATTGCACAAATGAGGAAAGAAAGGCCCAGGCATACGTAGCCAGCTATGGTAGAGTGAAGATGAAGATGAAGAAGAAGGAAGCTGAGGCTCTTACTTTGTAGCTCCCAAAGTGAGCTATAAAAACCTCTCTGGTTGAATCATGCCACCCAAGGAGCCCTGAAGCCAGGCAGGTCACACGTCCCAGCCAGCTGTAAGCACCCGGCTGAAGCCATAAAGTGAACCCATTCCCCTCACCTTTGGGTGGGTCCTCCAACGTCCAGTCTGGCTGCAGGTCTGGGAAGCAGAAAGGACCAGGTCATCGATGGGGCAGAAAGCAAGGACAGGGTACCCTGGGAGGCTGCCTGGCCTCTCCCAGCCTCCCTCCCTCCTAAAACAGGGGCTGAAGGCTGAGTCAGGGCCTGAAGAATGTCCCGAGGGAGGGAAGGAATTAGGAGGGCAGCCCTTGGGAGGGCTTGAAATGCCTGCCTTTGGCAGATTTCAGGCCTGGGTGAGCCAAGGGGCAATGGCTCCTCCCACCTGCCTGTTCCCACACACACACCCATCTCCTGACCTCTGCAGACCTGCTCTGGCCTTCTGGTTGGGGAAGCTAGACTACCCCTCTCTCTCTTTCCCTTCCTGGGTCTGCACCCTTTTCTAAATGCTCTGCTCTTTGCCCAGACCAACCCCTCTTGGGATGCAGGACTATTTGGGGCCTTCTGGGAAGAGCTACTGACTAGTCAGCCCACTTATCCCTAGCAAACCAATACACCCCTCTCAGGGCCCACCTTCCTCTCACTGCTGCGCTTTCTGCTTCTCACAGCAAACCATAACTGACTGAGCACCTCAACCTCCAGTCTCCAGTGCCTCCTGCCTCTCTCTGCTCAGACCTTCTCACCACCACTTCTGCCCAACCACTCTTACCAAGGATGCCAGTGACCTCCAAGACACACAACCTAATAGTCAACTCCAAGTGTTCATCTCGCTTACCCATTGGCAGCATTTGTCACAGCTCGCCACTTCCTTTTGAAACTCTTCTCTCACCTAGCTGCAGAGAGACTACTCTTGGTTTTCCCCCTCCCTCCCTGGCTGGACATTCTGTCTGCTTGGCTGGCCCCTGCTTATCCCTGGGACTTCTGGGCACCCACGTGCCTGAGGGCTCAGTCCTGGGGACTCTTTGTCTCCCCTTCTCCCTAAGTGATCTTGGCTAGTCTTATTTAAAATATAGTCAGTCCTCTGTATCCATGGGTTCAAAGTCCATGGATTCAACCAACCACAGATCAAAAATATTTTCAAAAGAAAATTGCAGCCGGGTGCTGGTGACTGACACCTGTAATCTAGCTACTCAAGAGATCAGGAGGATCGAGGTTTGAAGCCAGTCCAGGCAAATAGTTTGCAAGACCCTATCTTGAAAAAACCCAACACAAAGAAGGGTTGTGGCTCAAGTGATAGAGTACCTGCCTAGCAAGCATGAGGTCCTGAGTTCAAATTCCAGTACCAAAAAAAATTGCATCAAATTGAACGCTGAACACGCACAAACTATTTCCTTGTCATAAACAATACAGCATAGCAACTATTCACATAGAGTTTACTTTGTATTAGGAATTGGAAGTAATCCGAAAATGATTTAAAGTATACAGGATAGATTATATGCAAATACTATGCTATTTTAGCAGAGGTTCAAATCATACCCAACTGAGGAATAGGTGCTGCTGGTTCTGCCCAATTTTATATAAAGGACTTAAGCGTGCAGAGATTTTAATATCTGCAGGGGGTCCTGGAACCAGCTCTCCTCTGATACTGAGGGACGATGACTGTACCATCTCTTTCCACGATTCACAACCTTGGCTGTGCATTAGAATTACCTGGGGGACTTGAAATCAAAGTCTTTTTTTGAGTTTCAATCTGCAGCTTAACCTTGCCTCTCAACTACAGTCTTGGATATTCAGCTCCTACTAGAGATCTCCACTCCACGTGGGACGTCTCTGAAACAAAGTTTCTCCTGCATTCCTCTCTCTCTCTACAGATGGCAGCTCCAGCTTTCAATTCGCCCAGGTTTAAATTCGTCTTTGTTGCCTCTCTTTGATACCATGTCCATACATCAGCAAATTCCAAGGACTGTCTCTGGAACAACATGCTCAGAATTCCCACCCCATCCCACAGTGCCCTGGTAGTGCCCTGGTCTAGGGGTCACTGTTATCTCTAGCCTGGGTTGAAGTAGTGCTTTTTCTTTTCTTTTTTCTTTTTTCTTTTTCTTTTTTTGTTTGCGGCACTGGGGTTTGAACTCAGGGCCTACACATTGAGCCACTCTACCAGCCCTTTTTTGTGAAGGATTTTTTCAAAATAGGATCTCATGAACTATTTGCCTGGGCTGCTTCGAACCATGATCCTCCTGATCTCTGCCTCCTGAGTATGTAAGATTATAGACGTGACCCACTGGCGCCCAGCCTCATGCATCCACCTTTCTTCTTTGCACCTAGAATACTGCTTGGTACACAGTGAAGTATTCTGATACAATGGATGAGTGACCTTTTGGGGAGTGGAGATGCACCCATCAGGGTTGGCTGCATTTTGGGTTGAAGGAAGCAATGCCCCATGACTAGGAAAGACCACTAATGGTGGAATTGCAGACTGGCAGGAATATCAGAGGGATTTCAGGGAAGGGCTGGCTTCCCTGTTCCCTCAGAGGCCACTGCTGGCCCCAAGCCATGGAAAGGATTGACAGACTCTTTCTTTCCTTTTCCTTTTTTGTTCTATCAACAATTTCTTCTCCTCCTCCTCTGCCTCCTCCTCCTCCTTCTCCTCCTCTTCTTCTTCTTCCTTTTTGGTGGGACCAGGGTTTGAACTCAGGGCTTTGTGCTTGCAAAGCAGGCACTCTACCGCTTAACCCATACCTCCAGTCCATTTTGCTTTGGTTATTTTGGAAGTGAGGTCTCGAAAACTATTTGCCCAGGCTGGCCTCAAACCATGATCCTCCCGATCTCAGCCTCCCAGCTACCCACTGGCACCAAGCTTATTTAATTTTATTTATGTTTGTTTGAGTTTTGAGACAAGGTCTTGCTATTAGGGTCTTGCCATGTAGTCCAGGCTGGCCTGGAGCATGAGATTCTCCTGCCTTTGCCTCCTGAGTGCTGGGATTACAGATATGCTCTACCAGGTTGGCAGAGTGGCTCAAGTGGAGAACACCTGCCTAGTAAGCATGAGTTCTAGAGTTCAAACCTCAGTACTGTCCCCCCGCCCCTCCAGTAATAATAATCCAGTATAGATCTGCTCTACCAAGCCAGACATAAGACTATTTTCTTTGGTCTATTTTAGGGATCACTGGGGAAGGGTGCATGTAGAGAAGAATGCAGAAAAGTCCTTTTTTCCCTTTTCTGTCCCTCCCTCCTCAAGCTCCAGATGCCAGGGTCTGCTCTGCAGAGAGAGGGCCCTGGCAGGATGTCTAACCTGGCATTTTCCGGTGAATCTGCTGGAACATTCTCCGATACCAGTCTCTGGGACTGTCAACACTCTGAATCAGAAAATGCAAAGTCAGTCCTCCTTGCTCACCAGTCCTTCCCAATATCAAGCCACAAAAGTAAGCTGTTTCTCGGGCCACCCTTGAAGCCCCTGTGGGTGGGCTGGGGAGTGTCTTTTCACTGCCTTTATGTAACAGTAAGTTCATGTGGAATGTCACATGTGAATAAGGACCTCCATGCGTGGAAGGACCTCCATCAACATATAGATGATGACCCCTCCTCTGTGAGATGTGGAGTGATTTACATTTTTTCTCTTTTCTACATTTCCAATGTTTCTACAAAGTACAAAGTAAAAGAAAGAACACAGAGGACGGGAGACAGTATTTCAGATCACCTGCCTCACTTGAGCCTCAAAATGGCCCTGGGAGGGAGAGAGAAAACATGGCTGGCCCAAGACACAAAGGCGGGTGGAAGAAGGGCAGGGCCCTGGTGGTCCTGGATGAACCCAGGGATCCTTGACTCAAGGATTCTCACTCAAGACCCCCTCACTCATTCACCCAGTCATTCATTTAGCAACAGTTTTGTGAGCATTGTGCCCAGCCCTGGGATTATAGAACTAAAAGGGGGCCCTTATGGGACTCCTAGATAAACACGTCCCATACTTGCGCAACTCAGACACGCAAAATGGTGCCCATAACTTGATGTGGTTCATAATCCCCTAATGCCCACTGTGGTTACCCCCTGCTTGGTCTGGAATGGTCTGGGTACAGTCTTTATGGGGCCCCAATTTAACTCACAGAAGTGGAGCTTAGTATAGTTCCCAGGAACCCATCTGTCTGTGACCCCCAGCCCTGGACTCACAGATCGGGGGGCAATGGGCATGCCACTTTCATCCACGGGCCCGATTCCTTCGTACTTGACCCAGCGTTTGTCCCGACATTTGTTATCCTTGGTCCACGTGGCTGACCAGTTCTGGGCATGCTGGGGAGCGGAGGTCTTTGGACTTGGAGTGCGCCAGCTCCCAGGGCCTGGCCAAGTCTGATACCAGGAAGGGTCTGTGGGGTGAGCACAGTAGAGCATTAGCTGAAGACAGGGGTCCCCACCTCACCTTGTTTGTCCCTTCACTCCTCAGAACATTGATTCCTGTGGGTTCAAAGTTTCAACCTCGCCTTGTTTATTCAAGTGGATGACGTAGACTCTACAAATCTGCCCATTCCCAGCGACACCACAGGCTTCTGTTTGTTTATTCCTTAAAGTGGATTAAAAATGGATTTTGTTTTAAGAAATTTGTGCCAGCTCCCCAACCCATTCTGATTTCCTTGGACTGTCCTAAGAGTTAGCAGAAGGAAGGCAGGGAATCATTACTTGTAGAGAATGCTAGGGACACCTCAGCTGTGGTATGGTAGGAAAGAGGCTGGGCTTGGAGGGGACAGACCTGAATTCAGACCCCAGCTCTGCCACTACTAGCTGTGTGACTTTAGGCACATCAGTCACCCTCTCAGGGCCTCAGAGTCCACTTCAGTAAAATGAGGACAACTGTGCCAAAGATCCAGCACAGTGTCAAGGAGGGCTCAGCAAGGACAGAAACTCATTCCCCAGTAATGACTGCCATGTCCTCAGCTGTCCTGGAACCTTTAGCCTCTAAGTGGCCAGTGTAGCAACATGAGATCTTCTGGCCAGACAACTCAGCCTGGGCTACTGAACATCTCTGAAATGTGGGCTTCTCACTGGGAAGACCTCCATCATTGTGCCTTATTCTGCCAGAATATGGATAGATTAAATGAGATTAGGCTTGTGATGGGTCTTTGTGTGTCTATATGCTGTAAGTGTTCTATAATTACTTTTTGAATTTTTTTTAATTAATTTTTTTTGGTGGCACTGGGGTTTAAACTCAGGGCCTCATGCTTGCTAGACAGGTGTTCTTACCACTTGAGCCATTCCCGACAGCCCTTTTTTTTGTGATGGATTTTTTGAGATAGGGTCTCAGGAACTATTTGCCAGGGCTGGCTTCAAACTGTGATCCTCCTGATCTCTGCCTCCTGAGTAGCTAGGATTACAGGCGTGAGACACCAGTGCCTGGCCAGTAATTACTTTTTAAATGGCTGAAGTTCTTTACACTGTGTCAGCCTTAAAGCAGTGCTCAATAAAGGATGCCATCTCTCTCAGGGCTGACCTGCACCCAGGAGTTCCTAGGAGCTTGGGATCCTGGGACCCAGCTGACCAGCACTCAAGCTGCCTCTTCAACCTCCTGCTGGGCTGTGCAAGCACAGACAGGAGCAGCCCTGCACAGCAGGATTGTGCAGGGAAGGGGTCCTGATCTGTGTTCACTGGTACCTGGAGACCTCCTGGTAGCCTTGAGACCACCCATCCTCCCTCAGCCCCTCACTCTTCTTGCCAAATGGCAGAGCCCAGGAGGCTCAGCCTCCCCCCACCCCCACCATACACAGTGCTCCTGGAGCAGGTCTTTCTGAGCAGACCCACCTGGGTGCCGAGAAGCATCTCTCCTTGGTGGAGTGTAGCCATTGCACACAGTCCTGGGCGCAGGGTCGTGGAACTGGAAATTAAGGGTGTTGGAGCCACCATTCCGGATCACAGGCACCTGTGGGGAGGGGCCAGGAGCAGCAGCTCAGGGCCCAGGAGGTTCCACACAAGTGGGAAGGGATGGCTGCCAAGGCCCACAGGGCACATTGAGGGCTCTAGGACCAGCTTGACCTGAGGGAAACTATGAAGGCTCTCAAGAGCTCTCTGTGGGTCCCCTTCCCTCTTTGTATCCCTTCAATTCTCTGCTCCCCCACCTGACCAGCTAGCCTCAACCGTGATCACAGTATACCCTCCTCCTCACTGTCCACTCACCCGTGTCCCCCGGGAGGATGACCCTACATAGGCCCGGAGGTGGTAGGGAATGAAGTCATCCAGGCTGAGCTCATCTAGGAGGCTGCAGGGTGGGCCTTGCATGCTTGGGTCACAGTTAGACTCCAGGTGTGCCAGCTGCTCCTTTGTGTGTCCTCTGCAGGGAAGGAGGACGGAAGGAAAAGCCTTGCTGAGCTGCACTGACTGTGCCTTCTTGGCTCTACTCAGGGGTGGGGGCAGAGATCCTGTTGTGGGAGGGGGCTGGGGCCAGCTGGGTGGGAGCTCAAGGACCCAGGAAACAAGCCACTCTGGGCACTGGCCTCCACAGGCTGCCCGTGCCGGCTGGCTCCCAGAGGCACAATGGGCTGCTTGTTAGGCCCAGGGCAGGAGCTCCGGGTGGGAGTGGGGGAGGGGGTGGCCTGCTGAGGACAAGGGGAGGGTAGGTTGGCCAAGAGCTGGCCTGTGGTCTGCTAGCCAGCCCCTACGGGGTTCTCCCTGCCAGCATAGTCTGCTCCCCCAGAGGGAGGGCACAAGGGGAACTGGGGCAGCTGGCAGAGAAGGGGGCCTGGGCACACAGCACTTTGTTTCAGTTCCTCTGCCTCCCCCAGGCCTTGTGTAGCATCTGCTTGCCTAAAGGCACAAGGAGTTACTCAGGCCCAGGCCGGGGAACAGGCCCTAGCCAACAGCAAGGCCGCCCGCCCACTGGCCCCTGGGAGCAGCCAGCAGCGCCCTAATCTCTATCGGGGGCCAAGGACATTGTGGGGGCATTTCCAGGCAGGTCACCTGCTCCTTCTGAGTGTAGGGGATTATGGGCATGGGTGAGAACACAGTTGGACTTGCTCCTGTCCTGGAGAGGTGGTGTTGAGTGACTTGGGGTACACACACACACACATTCTGCACCTCCAGGCTGGGTTTTTGAATGCCTAACTAGCCCGAGGGTTCTTATGACGTTCAGGTTGGTGGAAGGGAGCTCCAGGCATCAGGGAGATGCAGTGAAGCAAGGGAGGAGCAAGAAGCAGGTACAAGAGGGTAAAGAGGAAGTCCTCAGCTGAAGGATCCAAGGGACCCAAAGAACTTTGGACTCAAAGAACAGTGGGATAGAGCCTGTGCCTCCTCACCTTTGCTTTGGATTGGGCCACAGTGGAGCCAATCTCCACCATCTTCTGGACTGGGCCAAATAAGCCTTGTATGTGCCTGTGGGGTTCATGGGGCTCTCAGTGAGGACAGGACATGTCTTGGGAGGTGCCGTGTGTGTGTGTGTGTGTGTGTGTGTGCGCGCTACACATACAGCACTACGAGCACGACTTGGGAGTCCTGAGGGTCATGTGAACAGCATGGGGGCTGTGGATGGGAGGAGCATCAGTTATAGCAGTCAGGATATGTGCAGCCGGCAGTCATATGAACATTACAAGAGTTGTGGGGACCCATGGCATTGATTGAAGGTACAATAGGGGGCTGTGACTGCCCCTGTACCCACTTCCTGCTCAGACCCAGGGGACTTGTAAAAGTACAGACAAGGCTGGGGGGGGGGCAGCACCTTGTCTCTGCTCTGTGTTAGTGGGGATTCCTTGATTCCTTCTGACATCAGAGTAAACTATTGGGGACACAACTGTTCCAGGCCAATCCCTGAGTGGGGGGAGGGCTGAGACTGAAGGAGAGGCAGCTCACCAGCTGGATCCAATTAGGATTCTTACCAAAAGCAAAACAAGCAGACACACCCCATTTCCCCACTGCCTGGCCTCCCTCATAGAGAAAGTGAGGCAAGGCAGAGTGGAAGATCAGGAGACCTGGGCAGGCTACTTCTAGGGTCCCACCCTCCCTGCCCTGTGATGCCCTGCCCTGCTGACAACTTGAGGCTAAGTTGCCTGCTCAGCATCAGTCCCGGCATCAGCTGACAGGCCTTCCTCCTCTTGTATCCTGGTCCCACCCTTCCAGCACTTAGCTCAGTGAGAAATGGTCTCCTGCAGAACTGGCAGGGCGGGAGGTACCACACACCACCTGTTTTCTGGAGCTGCTGTCCCAATCTTTTCCTCCCCACCTCTGCTTCTTGGGTACCCCAGGAATATACAAGAGCAGGGTGGGAAGGTGGTCCTGGGTTTTTTCTTGGCAGCCTCGCCAGGAAACATTAGGAAAGACCTCTCAGGAAGATGGACGCGTCCTGGGGAATTGCTGTCCCGGCTAAATAGGCAATTGCGAGGCCTCTGGGGTCCTCCCAGAATACAAGACAGCGGCTTCACCCAGACAACAGCTCCAAAGGTCTGGAAGAGGGGAAGCAGCTCTGCTCGCATGTCGCATGTCTGAATATGGCCTGACCTTGGGAGCTTGGTTCTCTGCTTTCCCAGGTATTTTCTAGTTACAAGTGCACACGGACAGGGATAGGTTTTCCCTAATTACGCCTTTTCTGGAGTAAGGATGGAGGAACTGCGCCTAACTCTTTCCACCTTAGAGTATGGAACAGGACTCGGTGGGAGGGGCTCTATGCTTTTACTTGGGGTTGGTCCCTCCCCGCCCCTCTCCTTCCCCGCACCTACCTTCCCCGGAGAGCAGGTGGCTGGGCCTGGGGCCGCCGGGAAGGCCAGGAGCATCCCTGCCTGGCTCCTGCCTGGCACGGCCGCGGCGGACCCTCGGGGAGGGAGGGCAGGGAGAAGTGCGAGCCGTCGCGGCCCTCGTGACCAGGTCAGGACGCTCGGCCACGCTGGGCACCCAAGTAGGAAGAGGGAGGCGAGGAGGCGCGCAGGAAGGCAGGACCTTGGGAGCTGCGCAACGGGAGGAGCTTGGGGCTCGAATCTGGACTGTGGGTCGGAGCCGAGGTGGGATGGAGTGGAGGGGCCTGTTACTCCCTCCCTCCCTCCTGCAGGGCGCGCGAATGCCTTCGGTCCGGGCGCGCCGTGGGGACGCTGGTGGCCCCTTGCCGAAGGGGCCGGACTGGCCAGGAGGCGGCTCCGGGAGGGGCCGCCGAGGGTCCCCGGGGAACCCGCTTGGTTTCCCAGCTGCCTTCCCCGGCCCCCACCGAGGGCTGGCATCGGGAAGGGGCGGGCGGGCCGGCGAGGGCCACTCAAAGTTTCCAGCGACATTTCCAGGGTGTGGGAAGCGAGCTGCTGAGCGGCGAAGCCAGGACAGAGGGCAGGAGTGATTAACGAGAACGAGCCGTGAGTTCCAGAGCCCGGGTGGAGTCAGCCCCTGATATGCTGGTCGCCTGGGAGAGACAGGAGACTGGCCCGCGGGGCAGACAGGCTGGGACCGAGATAAGGGCGCCCACAGGCAGGGTACCCGGGAGCGAAGGCCCCGCCGCCTCCCCGCGCGCTTGGGGAAGGAGTTCGTGAATGCATAAGCGCGCGGCCGCGCGTGTGCAAAACACGCGAATTCAGTGGCAAACTTTCGGATGTTCACACATGTGAGCGCACCGGGAGGAAATCGGCTAACGCATCAGCCCCTTGGGCGTGCCGCATCTCTAAAGAGGATGAGGGTGGGGTCTTTGGGCGGAGATGAGGTTAGGAGGGTCTTGGTGTTCCCATACACCGTATTTGTTTTGATCTTCCTGCTTTTCCTCTGTTCCCACTTCGCTGATACGGATACCAAGTGCCCTGCCCACTGGCTGCTCCCCACTCACTCAGGGCTCGCTTCTTCCCTCCAATCCCCAAGCCTCAGTGTGGGCAGAGGGCCTGTTGTAGAAAGCGAGGTGCTTGATGAGTGCTTAGGAACAGCCGAAACCCTCTGGAGTATTTCTAGTCTTCGGCTTAACCCTGGGATCTCAAGCTTCCAACAAACCAACCTGTAAATACTGATCAACTTCAGATACCTATTGGGAGTGATCATTGATAAATTATGGAAGTTCGACAGTGTTTATTGGATACCCACTAAGTGCTGGATTGAAGCATTTGCACTTCCAAGTGTTTTTCAAGCATACCACTCAGTTCAAAGGCTGAGAAAAGGAATGGAGAAAAGACAAGCAATTCTCAGTCCCTAGCACCCTCCTTGCTTTCTCTTTTCCCAGTTCCAGCAAAGAGCTGTTGTGGTTGCATTGGAACAAAATCACATTGGAAGGGGGCTTGGGGGGAGGCGGCACAAACAATGTATACACATGTAAGTGAAACGATAAAAGAAGAAAAAAATAGCATTGGAAAGCTTAGGCTGAGGAGGAGCTGCGGAGATGGGTGTGCCTGGGGCCTCAGGTTCTGCCAACATTGCAGAGGTGGGCTGCACTGGGGTAAGGGGGAGGGGGGACATTGGGCACAGGCCATAGGGAAAGCAGGAAAGTAGAATCAAGGAAGCAGATTCAAGGAAGGCTTTAAAGCGATTTCAGGGCTCCAAGTCTGTCGGTTGCAAGCTATTTTTACAAAGGCAACTATTGCACTGCGCAGTGGCAGAACCAGTTAACCTTTGAGGCGCCTTCCAAGTGTTTCTGCCTCTCCAGGGAAACTGAAGGGATGGAAATGGAGGAGGGAGCTATTGCCCACGGGAGTGGAGTTCTCTGACTCCACTGAGGCAAGCAGCACAGTGTTGCCCCTCCTCTGAAGCTCGGATGCTTACCTGTCCCTTGGTACCCAGTTTTCCCTCCCTAGGGGGTAATATAAATGCCCATTACCTGTCAGGGTCCTTGGGACTAAGAAGAACCACATCATGTTCACTTTCTTCCTTGTTCTCCAAAGATGGTGAAGGAGCAGTTCTTCTACCTCCAGGAATCCTGGCCATACCCTTCACCAGCAGCAAGCTTCTCTTATTCTCCAGGGCTCTGACCTGGACTCCAAAATAAATATTTAATGTACAGGGTGCCGCTGAGCTGCCAAAGGTCCCAGCTTCCTGTTTCTCACAAAAGGAGGCTGAAGCCCTGGACAAGGAGCTGGAGACTGGCTACCAGGTCCATCTCTATGGGAATCCAAAGCTCAGTAAACAGCTTTGGAGGTTGAGAGGAGGAGAGGAGAGAGGAGGCCCCACTGGAGACCTGAGCTTTTCCCTCAGCTGCTTTCCTCCTCTGTCTGTCTGTCTCCATGGGCCTGGGCCCTGCTGGGCTCATGTCTTGCAGGTCAAAACCCACAGTGTTCTGTTATACTTAGCGATCCTTAAAGAAGACAGGATGGAAGGTCGCTGGGACCACAGGGCCAGAAAAACATAAGAAAACTTGACTGATTCCTTCTTTTCTACCCATATTTAGGGAGAATTCCTCCTCTTTGAAAAAAGATTAAAGGGGGAAAAGTAGCAAGGTTCAGAGATTTGGCCAAGAACTAGGTGTCTGATTTCCCAACTCCTCTCTTAGCTTCAGCTCCTTGCTGCCAGCCTGCCTCACAGCTGGCATAGTACCAGGCGCAAGATGGAGCTGGGAAAGGTTGACCCAGGTAGTGCAGTCCTGGTCACAGCAGACTTCTTACATCCCATGCACGGTCCTCTGCACACTCTCCCTGGCTGGGAGGGACCTCCTTCCCTGTCAGTCTGCTGCTTGCCCACCCCATACAGCCTTCTCAGTCACCTGAGCCTTAGTAAACACAGTTACATAACCACTGTTTTTCCTAGCTGATTCCAGTCACCAGGATCCCCACCCCACAAAGGCTGCCAACTTTTGTTCTGTGCACATCCCCCTACAGCACTGCTGTCCCCAACACCAACCAAGGGCATGACTAGCCAAGTGACTACCAATAAATGTTGGGGTTCCAACATTTGTGGAATACAAATTGCTCTTAAGTGTCACCAAGAGGAAGGCAGAATGACTCACCCTCCTATAGGCAAGTAGAGTGCAGACCTCTCCCGCTCACTTCTTAGATGGTATAAAAGGGAAGCCAGGACCCCAGAAGACAGGAACACTCTCAACTATCACATATCTTTCTCTAGTACTAGAAGTCTGCTATTTGAATGAGTCATACTCTTGAGACCTCCTCTGCTCTAGGCCCCAGTCCCCCCATATTAGATAAGGAAAGGGCATCTGTATTCTTTTTCTTCTCGGGGATGAACTCTGGACCATTCTCTAGGTAGACTCTGAGCTTTTATTTGTGCTCTCAGAAGAGTGTTTTCTTCCTGCAAACCAGAAGGGATTAGCCAGAAAGTCCAGCAGAGGGGGACCACAGTGACACAACAAGGAACTAAAACCGTCACCACGAATGTATCAGTCTAGATCTGTTTCGTCCCCTGGGCCCCATCCTTTCTCCTGGGTCCTCTCCTGATTCCAGCTCCTGCAGTGTTGCCGGCCAAGTTCTACTGATGGCCCACATCTGTGCCAGCCACTCATGGGAACAGGCGCAAGCAAGGGAGGAAAGTGAAGCGACCCACTTTGAGGCTTCAAAGATCCTCCTGCATTGACAGTGACATGGCCCAGTCCACCTGGAATCTGAATTTTTTTGCTCAGTCACTGTAAAGTGAGGGATCTCTGTGAGTGAAAACAATACCCAGTGTAGGTCAGGTAAGGCTGGAGCAGAGCCTGGCAGCTAGGACAGATGTGTGGAACCCCATGGAAATAGAGAATGAGGCTTCCAGGCCTGCCTGGCACACATCTTTCCTAGGGCATACATGATATTATCAGGCATCTAATTCAGGGCTCTTAGTCAATCACATCTAAACACCAAAGGTGTTTAGAACTCAGCTTTGCCTAATTTACCCAGCCTATCCTCCAGGAAGCCATGACCCCAACATCATATCCACTACTGTTCTCTTCTTTCTTGTTTATTGATGAGCAAACAGACACCATGTGCAAATGGGGGCTTTTTTTTTTGCAGTACTAGGGCTTGAACTCAGGGCCTTCACCTTGAGCCACTCCACCAGCCTTTTTTGTGATTTTTTTTTTTTTTTTTTATATAGAGTCTCACAAACTATTTGCCCAGGCTGGCTTCAAACCACAATCCTCCTGATGTCTGCCTCCTGAGTAGCTGGGATTACAGGCATGAGCCACCAGCACCAGCAGATGGGGCTTCTTTAAGAAGAACTGAGCTGGATGAACTTTTAGTTCTCAGAAAAGATGAAAAGCGCAAGCAGCTGTCAGCCCTTCAGGAAACAGCTTTATAAAAACAGCTCTATAAGGACAGAATAAATAAGCAATGACCTCAGTGGGAAACCAAGCCAAGTCAACTTGGCCAAAGAGAAGGGCACAGAACCAGGCTGGAAAATGAGGTCTGCCTCAGCTGTCCTTCCCAACTCAGGTAAACTGAGATAATGGAGATCGAGGGCTGATTGGCTGGCCAGTGGACACCATGAGGTAGTGCTCTGACCTCCAAACAAAGGATAATCTGTTTTCCTGCCTCCTTGAGTTCTCTGAGAAACTTTCTCCTTCTCTGCATCAACATTAAGATGACTTGTCATTAAATGACCAACCCACTGTTACCAGTATGAAGTAGATTTTCTTTCTAAAATCTGAAAGTTGTAATAAAAAAAAAAAAAGCAAGACCGACCAATTACCCATAGCAGACACCAAAGCAAGGGCTAAAACAAAATCTAGCAAGGGGTCAGTATGAGTTTGCATTTCAGACCTTCATTCCTAAACTCTTAAAAAGCTTTCCATGACTCTGTACATAGGGATAAACACTACCTCAACTTATCAGGGCTTTAGCCAAGGGATAAACGATGCTGCTAACTCAGGATGCCAAATTGCATACTCATCTTTTGTGCAATTAGAAAGCAGGGCTCACTGACGGAGTGGCTCAAGTGGTAGAGTGCCTGCCTAGCAAGCATGAGGCCCTGAGTTCAATCTCCAGTGC